TGCCTGGCAATGCGGGCATCTTTTCTGAGCTGCAGTTTATAAACACTGTTGCCTCTCTCAGCGTTTATAGTTGTATTTTACTCTCACTTTTGTCAGGCACAAAGTCACAGCACTGATCGTGGCTCACAAGCAAGCAAGACAGACCAAGAGATGCGCTGCCCAGCTACTTTAGCAAGAGAGATACTAGATAGAGATGCACTGCAGCTAGCACGTCGACTTAACGTTACTGTTAATTGTAGATATCAAACTTGGAGAGGGGTTAACCTGATTACTGTTCACATAAGTCACTCTTATGCTGTTATTATTTTTCTTTTCATGACCAGAAGGATTGTTCCGCTTCATCCTCTCATGATTGTAAGCATTGAACACCCGCTGTGACACGATGGGGTTGCCCTACACGCACCAATTCTCAGTCCCTCTTGGTGTTTCACATCATATAAAAAACAAAACAAAAGAGGGGTAATATTTGCCTGCTAGAACAAAGCAGTGAGAGTTTTATTTCCCAAAGTTTTGTCAAAATACAGTCAAGTGGTGTATATATGAAGAAGTGCGCAAAGACTACGTTCTGTTAATGTGGGGCATACTAATAACCAACAATGGAGGAACTGAAGTACAAAACTGACAGCAGGGACGGAGAGGAGAATGGAACAAAATGGAATACGGTTGGAGGCTGAGTGACGCAGAGACAGAGCTGTGGAGTGATGGCTCACTGAGTTAGAGAGAGGAAGAGGAAGAGAGACAGCGGGGATGTGCTGGGAGGGTCAGCCATCCATCACTGACGTTCAGGTCATTAGTCTATTTACAGAGAGCTGGCGCTGTGCTTCCACTTGTCATGTGGAACCAATATTTAATTAAAGCTGAACTAGGGAGGATAATTGGGACGAACCTGCCCTCAGGGGGGGTTAGGGTGCAACCGTTGCTTTGCAAGGTTCCTAACTGAGAGAAATGATGACAGACAGTCTATAAATGCTAAGGAAAGGTGCTTTAATTCCTTTCTTATCTCCTTCAGCATAGGGTACACTGGACCCTCCTTTATGAAAGGACACAGTTCCTTGCGGCAGCAGCATTTAAAGCATTTAAAGCATTTAAATGCTTAAGACAGCATTATTATTAAATTGAATGTAAGAATAAATCTTTGTTACATGACAGATCTCTGTTCTCTGATATTTTAGTTGGTAAATTTCACATACATAAGGCAAGATTCTCTAAGTCCTACCCAAGGTTTTGTTTGGTGGAATTCAGTTAAACCTTAGGACCCATCTACACTGCTCCCTTTTAGTTTAAAACAGAGTTTTAATGCGAATATGATCTCCGTCCATGCCAGCGTTTTAGCTGCGTATCAGAGTTGATCTCCGTCTATACAAACGACTGAAAACGCCCATCTGGTGGTCGTTCACATACACTGGGCATGCGCGTGCCGGTGTAAACATGAAGCAGATGGTCTATTCTGTAGTTACAGAAGATTTGGCAAAAGAATAAACTACTAGAACTAGAGATGAAGAACCACATCAGATTTTTTTGCATGGACCAATAACGAGCTGGGACTGTTACTGAATGTAACACGGGAGTTAAAAGCTGCTGTGACGCGGAAACCAGACTGGGAGTCGTCACAAAGTAAATACGGCTACATGCTCAGTACAAGTGTAGACTGTAAGTGTTATTTGCACGGTACAGAATATTTTAATAAAAATACCAAATCAGAAACTCTGTCAGCAGCATCCTGTTTCTGCTTTGCATGACTAATAAGACCCAATCAGAGAGCCAAGTGTGAGCGTCTGCGTCATCGTTTTACCCGTCTTCACTAAATCGTTACCCGGAGTTTTAAAACTAAAATCGGGGTCAGCAGTGTTTTCAAATTTCTCCGTTGTAGTTCTTTGTTTTCGCTGTTTTAGTCTGGACGCAAGGTGCAAATGTAGCAAAAGGTCTCCGTTTTGTTACTGTGGTTGGGGCCTCAGTGAACAAGAGTAAATTTCTGTTTCCTGGAATGGGGTTTAGTTTCTCTATAGAATTACAATAGACAATTGGCATTGAAGTACAGCCCAACAAAGCAAATACTAATAGAACCAATTATAGGTCACATGGTAGAATTTAATTTGGGCAGCCAGCATGACGTTTGCTGAGGATCCACTGCGATGTTTGGTCAGTGGGATGTTTAGGTGAGTTTTGTCCAGCGTTTGATTAGGACCCAGGCCGTCTGGCTGAGGGTCTGGCCTTTTGGATTGACAGATCTTATTATCACATCTGCTCCACATACAAGACTGAGCAAGCCTGGTTCTCTTAAGACCACAGACAGAGCCTGTCAGGAACAGAAACTGAAACCTTTGACCCATGACTTTCTGTCCTGAAATGCCAACACATAACAATAATTCGACAAAGAAATATCAAATGACTGTCGTACTGCAGGAACATGTGATTTCAATCATCTTAAAAGAAAACAGTGCTCCAAAACGCTGTTACTTATAGCTAAAAGCCTGCGTGCATGACTGCAAATATTTCAACTGGCCACATCTGAAATGTGGAGTGGGTTTCCGGTGGTTCCAGTTAATCCATCACATCTGTTTAATAGTTTTTGGTTAGCTAAGGTGGATGATCCAGCTGCAGCCTCGTGTGAGTGTGGTCATTGTTAGACTTCTCACTTCATTTCCTGTTTTCTTGAGTTTGCATCAGTAAGGACACCAGCAGAGCAAAGCTAACTGGAGAAGCCAACATATGGTTCGGTATTGAAGGACAAACATACCCAAACACACTCACTTAGCCCCTCCCCTCCACATTTAGATAACCTTTGCGGGGCTGGGAGCAATTTACCCAGCACTGAAGAGGAGGAGGAGGTTTCATACATCTGTGCTATCTCGTCATGAAATGGCCTTTGTAAGCGTGTGTGTGTCTGTGTGTGTGCACATGCTTGACCTATAACTCTGAACAGTCCATCAAACGGGTGAGTCAGCTGTCGTCTGGCGGCACAGGCTGCGGGAGACACTGAGGAAAGTGTATTGGTAACTGACACAGAGCCAGAATGTAATCCATAACTGAGCAAACACTCACAGGGGGGGACCGAGGGATCAAGAAGGGGCAAAGACTGGAATTCATCGGGGCTTCACACCACGTTGATGTGGACTGAAGAATACACAGATGTCCTGTGAGAAGTATGAATCAATCCGTTCTCCCTGCAGATGTTCCCCCGCAGCAGCGGAGTGAACAGAACTGTCAAATAGTGCTTGAAGTAGAAATGTCCTGAGCAGATCCGGGCATATTTTAGTAGAAGTGATATGAGCTTAAATAAAGCTGAGCAAGATGATTCGGTTCCACCGGTGATTGACTCTGTTCTCACACATAAGCTCAGCCAATAGCGAATCTGTTATCTCTGCTCTCCCCGCACAAAACATTCAGGAAGCAGCTTCTCACTTTTAGCTGTGCAAGTGTATCTAGAATAATTGATTCTGCTTTGAAGGCAAAGGTAACACCGAATAGTGATTTGATTTAGATTTTTTATTTCATTCACTCACTTTGCATTTCATTACTATATAAATTGACAGGTGAGTTTGTCTATTTTTAAAAGCAGTCTTACTTCACAACATTTTCTCCACACCTACTACACAGTATTTAGTCAACTTGGGCACATATAAGGACATCTCTATGTTAAAGGAAAAACATTTTCCAGCAAATTGTTGGCTGAGTGACCCTTCTTTAGTACCAGTAGTCAGGTTGCATTTATATGTTATAACACTTTTTTTGTGCTTCTGACATCTCCTAAATAATTATGAAGCTTTTCAAGGACTTGCACCAAGTGTGTTCTATGAACTGGCATTTTACTTCATGCTAGCCTCACACTTAAACAACTCAATCTGGAGCACCTTAAGACCTTTTAATAAGAAGCCCAGAAATGGCAAACTGGGCTTTGTCAGCTGTCAGATCTATGGGAAATTGCTCATCAATCTAGAATTACTGGAGCAACATCTGAACATCATTTTGAAATGGAAAACCTCCAGCTTTCTGCTTTTAGGCTGCACACAGATGCTGGATGCTGCAGCAGTACAGCTTGGCAACACTACACGCATTCTTCTTAGCTGTGGAGAGCAGCTTGATTTCTTTGACTGAATGCAGCGGCCTGTTTGCAACACATTTTATGAAAAAGTCCAAAAATATTTTGCTTAAGCATAATTACTGACACTTCAAGGACGCTTCAAGGTCAAAGTCAAGGCTTCAGTATGTTGCTTTTAATTATTTGGTTTATGAAAACACTTTGGCTTTGGGGAACCTTTTTTCACTTTTTTTAACCTTTGTAGGCTAAACAATAATTTGATGAAGACAAAACAAAAATCAGCAGATCAATCTTTAAAGGTGTGTAATCGTGGGAGTCAGTCAGAGGTCTTGCTAGGACAAGCAGCCCAACTTCCCTTCAACCAAACACCCCTCCCAACACCTCTTCAGGAGACACGAGCCAGATGCTCAGCCATTAATCAGTGTATTGTGTGTGTGTGAGAGTGTATGCTGTGTGTATGTTTGGACTGGCTGTGCTCTTTGTCAAGTAAATGTTAACTGTGTGTTTGTGCAACTGCTGCCTCTAACAGCGGTACAGGAGCAGAGAATGGAAAGTTGGCGCAGAAAGGAGAGAAATAGGAAGATTTATATGGAAGGGAAGCGCTGAGTGAAAGGGACGGCGGAAGAGTGGATGAATGGGGATGGTGAGGGAGAGAGTGGGCAGGAGGTGGAGAGGAAATGTTTTATTCCCTCTATCTGAAAGCCTTTCTTGCTGGCAGACAGGTTCCTGGCCTTTCCCCTCCACAGACAATGAATCTACTTTATTTTCTGTGCTCTAGCCCCTTCCCTCCAGGCCCTGTGTGACATAACATGTGGTCAGCAGGCTGTCTTTCCATTTGCTGTGCTCATTTCAGAAAAAAAGACATATGCATTGCTTTGCCACAAAGTGGAAACAGCATTTAATTTACAATCTTATCTAGTTGTCTGTTTTAATTCTTTTAAATTTGCGTGTGTTTCCTCAGGTGAATCTGGTCTCGGGAAATCGACGCTTATCAACTCTCTGTTCCTGACTGACCTGTACTCCAAGGACTACCCTGGGCCCTCCCTGCGCATCAAGAAGACTGTGCAGGTATATTTATTCAACATCAGGCCCAATTACAGATTAATTTGGCAACACACGCTAGTATTCCTCCTGCCTTTTCCATATCCTTTTAATGAGACGCAGCTGTACAAGTTGTTTAATATGACAGAAATAACAACTCTTAAATCACCGTATCTCTGTGATACTTGACTTACATACATGACGGTTCCTCAGCTCTTCATACCAGTTGTTCAAAATCCCCTCATGGTCGTGTCAAGGGTGTTCTCCTGTCGTTTTGTCAGTGTATTGATCAAATGCTGAGAACTAAGGCCCCATCCACACTACTCCGTTTTAGTTTATGAACGGAGAATTAAAACAAATACGATCTCCGTCCACACCAGCGTTTTAGCTGCGCTTTGGAGAGTTGATCTCCGTCTACATTAAAACGCCAGTGTAAACATGAAGCAGATGGTCTCTTCCTGGTTACAGAAGATTTGGCTAAAGAAAAAATAAACACAGACGAAGAAGTTTTTTTTGCATGCACCAATAAAGAGCTGGGACTGTTACTGAGTTGTTGCAAAGTAAATACGGCGACATGCACAGTACAAGTGTAGGCAGATAATTTATTATATATATATATATATATAATAAGTTATTTGCACAGTACATAATATTTTAATAAAAATAGCATGTCAAAAACCCGGTCAGTAGCATCGTGTTTCTGCTTTGCATGAGTTCTAAGACCCAATCAGAGAGCCAAGCGTGAGCAGCTGCATCATCATTTCTAAAGTCCTCCATTTTAGGTCTTCGGTTTCGCCGTTGTAGTCTGCATGGGAGGAGCAAACGTAGCAAAGGTCTCCGTTTTAATTCAAAAACGCAGCAGTGTGGATGGGGCCTAAGACTCAGAAATTAACCTAATCATTACCTTTTTAGGCCTTAAGGATTAATCCTTTTCAAATCGAAATAGTGATTTGAAAGAACGATTAATCGTTAAGCCCTAAAAAGGTAATTAGCTATTAACTAATTGTTAAGATGGCGATTAAAATGTAGGTTAATTATACAGCGCCTCTGACCCGTTTCAAACAGTCATGCAGTTACAGGGTACCTGCGGGGTCTTAAAAGTATTAAAAAAGTATTAAATTTCACATTCCAAAAATAAGGCATTAAAAGTATTAAATTTCATTACCAAAGTATTAAATTTTGTTTACCAAGGTCAAATTTGTTCTTTGTCCTTTCTAATGTTATACGGCAGTACAGGTAACGTTACTGTTTACGTCAGTGTTTTGCTTTAAGCTCTGGACTGTGGGGTGTTCGCGGTGCACGTTCTCTGGCATCCAGCTGTGGCGCATATCAGTCAGTTAGGAAAGAAAACAAAACATCTCTGACGGGCTACTAACAAGCTAACGCTAGCTCGTCGCCAGAGAATGGGAAAGTGTTTGGAATTCAGAAAGCCAGAGGTACGGACAAGTGGCGGTTGAGGCCGAGGACAGTGGAGCTCACACTACGACATGCTAACGCACATTAAACTTACATCATCCAGATGCGCCGATCACCGGGACAAGGAAAAAACAAACCGGGGCCCAACTCCTTATCCCCAAGCCAATACTATATTTCAAACAGCCTTAAGATGCACAAACCGAACAGGATGAATTATCACATTAAATTACATTACCTTATCTAGCCAAGGTGTAACTAATTGTAACAACTTGTACTGCACAATTTGTTAGTATTTTTTATTTTCATTTCATAGGTGTAATTTACGCTGGGGATACTGGGGACATGTCTCCATCACTTCTTTTGAAGCATATGTGAAACATGTTCTGAAAAATGGCTTGTAACAAGAAATGTTGAAAAAAAAATATGGAAATACTTGAGAAAGGTTTATTTGCACAATAAAAAAACATGCAATGCTATTTAAAGATAGAAGAAACAAATGTGCATTGTCCAAAAAAAGTTTAAGCTAAAAAAACAAGCTCCTGAGTACTGCATTATATTCTGTTTGAATATTCATCTGAATCACTTTATATAAATAAAGACAATTCTACCATAAACTGGTGCAGAAAATGTCTCCAGAATGCAGGAAATTAAGTGTTTAGTGCTCAAAATTTTCTAGGGGACCCCCATTTATATATTTCAGCGTTTAATATTTCATCAAAATAGTGTTAAAATATCTTCTTGTCTTCTTGTGAACCCAATATTGTAAATTGTGCATGTGAGCTAAGTTTATCGTCACACCCCTAATTTGAACCCCTATGTTCCCACCACTTTTCAACACAAAGTGACATCCTTGATTTATTTTATCTTGTCAAAGTACAAACACACCTCAAAAAGCTATAGTGTGTTAAATATTAATGTATTATAATGTTTTATTAAATTCATGTAACTGTAAATAATTTTCTCGGGCTTAAAATTCATACAGATTTTTCATTATACGGCAGTGAAGATAATGGCGCCAGCCGAAATGACGAAAGCAGCGGCTGTGCTGCAGTTTTGCACGGCGTCAACTCACACTGAAGTGTTTCAGCAACAGAACGTTTAGCTTCCCTACATTGTTGATGTGATGTCATTCTGTGTGCTTCAACTGTGGATAACGGCTCTCAGTGCACCCATTCCATTGCGCTCTCTGCACGGCAACATCAACATGGAGCATTTCAGAATAAGAGCGTTTTGCCTGCCTGATTTTTCTGACCTGTTTCTTTTTTTTGTCTGTTTTGACTGTGTTTGCTGTTGATATACGATCAGTAGTGTGCACAAGGCGTTTTATTTTAGAAATCGACAGGATTCTCTCTGTCAGTCTGTCTGACTTCCTGTCTGGTTCATCAGCTCTGCTCCTTGACGCAGGTTCCGTCAGAAATATACTGGCAGTGAATATTGAACTTTAGCAAAACTTAAAAAAAAAACACATCTCAAATCAAATCCTAAAAGTTATATCGGGCAGAAAAATCGCAATTAGATTTTTTTCCCCCAAATCGTTCAGCCCTACGTTTGATAATGCTAGATTTCTCTAAGCTGTGTGTGATTTAATGCTAGCATTGAGGACCAGAGTCTGCAATGTGTCACTTAGATCTGACCATGGACCAGTCACCTAAACATTTTCGTATGCTGAGAAGGAGCTCATTAATAGAACACCATTTAATTGGTATGTGTATGTATAAACTCTTTGAACTGAATTTAAATTAATTTCAGAAGAATACATATTCAGTACTATATATTATCAGGCTTCAAAGCCACATTGGTACCAGCTGGAACCAGTCCTTGTTGTTATGCTGCCACTGAGGGTAAAAGGTTAAAGCACATAGTGAAGAACGGAGAGAGGGAGCAAAAGATGGGAGTATTCTGGAGAGGAGGAAGAGAAAAGATGAAGTATCGTGGAAAAGGAGAGTGAGAAAGAAGGATGGAGGAACTAAGAGGGAAACCACGAGGCCACAGGGCCTGGTTTTGCCCTTTTATGGTCATGACAAACTGAGGAGGAGGAGGAGAGAGGCTGCATCTGGAGCAGCGGTGGGGAGCTGAGGACAGAGGGAGGGAGGAGAAGAAGCTTTGGAGAAGGGTTGTGAAGGAGGTTGGAGAAGAGGGCGAGTGCAAGTACAACAGGGTGGAAGAAAAGGGTTGTGGACAGGATGTAGTCCGGAGGAAAGAGGAAGGATGTGGGTAGCAGGAGAAGAGGGACATAGAAGCTGTGTGAGGGGGAGGAAAAAGACACAGCAGGGTAAAACTTTAAGGGGACCTATTATTCTTTTACATATTTTCTGCCATTTCTATAACGTTAAAAAGCTTCAAATAAAAAAGTATTTAATAGAAATCCCTGCCAAAACCTCAGATATCCTCCTGTTCTGAATGCTCTGCTTTCAACAGCTTTTTCTACTAACTTTCCATACATGGTCATTTGCTCCAGGCAGAGAATGCTAGCCACGCCCACAAAGGGACATGCAGCCCCATCCCTGCAAGCTGGTAAACACACAAGACAATGGCCAATCAGACGACAGTGGGCTTTGGAGGGGGCGTGCCTTAAAGAGACAGGAGCATCTACAGCTTGTTTCAGACAGATGCTGAAATGAGGGCCTGCATGAAGGGCCAGTATAAGATAGAAAATTCTTTTTTTGAACTTTGAATCATACAAGGCTGCCATAGAAGAGTCACAGAACTACAATATAGGGCTGGAAATTCAGTTCAGCTCGGGTAGGTAATTTATTTCAGAAGCATTTTGTTTTATATGTGTTAAAATTATCTTTACATCCCAACAGCAATAAATAAGTCCAGTGCTCTGACACAAACATTAAAAATATCCAATATCTGGAGCTATGACGGGACTGTAATAAGCAGGCCAATCATTTCATTTGGCCCACCTACCTGCCTATCTTTGTGCACTCTGCTCGTGCACTTACTGGGCATTAAAATGGGTTTTGGGGCAGTGGCTTCGGACCAAGGCCTGGAGGGAGGGGTGTGATTTTTCAATTGGATACCTTTAAAATTTAACAGTCTCTTGCTAGTTTCTCCATTGTTGCCTACCCCAGCTTTAGGAGTGTATCTGAGGACTGAGGCAGGGATGGATTAGTAAGAGGAAGAGACTGGAGAGACCAAGAAAAACAGGCAATTGGGTGAGAGTCCTTGTATTTCCCCTGAGACGTGATAAGGTCAGTAGCAGGGCAAGAATGTTCTCATGAAATGTTAACACTCAGCCTCACACATACACACACACACACACACACACACACACACACACAAAAAAAAATAAATATCTTTACTTGATTAATGAATGATTTGCATAATCATAAAAGCTGCTCTCACACAGTCACTTAAAACTCATTTGTCAAATCACTTTGCAGCCGTATTTGGCTCCCACTTACACTCTGCAGCAGTCGTCTTTGCACATTACCACAAACAAGCATCATTCACGCATCCACAGACACACACACACACACACAACTCCTCAAGTTTGAGATTTCTGCTTCTACCCCAACACAATGGGAGTGAACAGCAGAGGATCTTTCAAGCAACTATATCAGTCTTGCTCTCAGCAGTTTTTATTTAAACGACTTCCTGCTGCAGAAAGAGGCCCAGCGATAAAGATATGGAGTTTCTTTAATTTTACCTTCACTGTACTGAGGTGGAGGCAGAAATATCAAAAACAGACAAGGTAAACCTAAACTATCAACATGGTTAGATAGTATTTTTTCAATATCAAAGGCCAAAGGTCACACCAACTTTTAAAATGGCAAAATTTAGCAGCGAAATAGGTTTGTTCCCATGGAGTCACTGCTATCAATGGATTCGCTGGAGTTTTTGCAGTTTGTCACAGCTGTTGTAGCTTAATAGGAAAAAGGAACGGTTTGCAGACTGCTGGTTTGGGATTGTTTGAGACTGGTCTAAATTCATCTTTTCAATAAACTATGTGAACTACTTATTTTTTCCTTTTGCTGTAACGCTTTACTGAATGTGCAATTTCTAAAACACTATCCCAGGCAGGAATTAAACACCCAGAACAGAGAAAATGGAAATGCTCTTGGGAGCTAATGTGACTAATTAGCATTATACCAATGCACGGTTATGGTTCAGAGTGTAGCAGCAATATTTAAATATTACTAATGTATGAAATATTAAAAATGGATTTATTTTTGTACGTTTTGCAGTTTGCTGTCCCTAAATTTAACATGTTCTAGGATTGGTTGCCAGTTTCTTAAAATGGTTGCCTAAAAAATACAGCATAAACACACAATAATTAATCAGGCCAGCTTTAGGTACTTGACAGAGTTTGGTGCACATTTCGGCCTGTACCAACAAAGTATTGAAGTTTAACACCCAGCCCTACTAGAGGTAATTGAGAAAATGTGTTTTTGTAGCTTGAGTGAACCAAACCTTTAACCTTTCAATTGTGAACAGAGACAACTTGATGCCATAGCACCCAGCTTCAGTAAAACCTTGAATTATAAACATCAGATTAGACTGGAGTCAAGTACAATCCTGTGTACTGTCATGACACTTTAGTCATTCTAACACATCTTTCATCTTCTGTCTCTGAAGTCAGATGTTTAAGACATTATAGGACAGTTTTAATGTGACGATACATTTTTGAGGTAAGGCAAAAGAAAGCCTGAAAGACAGGTCCAGAGTTCTAGGGCTGAGTATTGAACCTCAGCATATTTTGGTACTGATTGTGAAACATGTCCGTAGCCCCGTAGTAATGACTGCCTGAAAGCTAGTTGTCAGCACGTGACCCAAGTATGGCACTAACTAAACCACGTTCATGAGCAACTGAGCCAAATCCATTCATCTCAGGAGTGGGATGCAGAAAATAAAGTTCCAGAGAAAGTTAAGATTATTTTGTCAAAATACCTTGTCCATGTTGAGTTGACACTTGGACAGTTCCTGATTTCAATTAGAATGTTGCCAATTTTAGATTGTTAGTTCTTAGACAGCTTCTTGCATTTAGGGAAAAGTTAACATTTGACTTCTATCGTAAAATGAAATCCATTATAAATATTTTGCACATCCCTGCACTGACTGTAATTCAAACAATAGCCATATTTTACAAATCCTTTATTATTCTTTTTTCTTTTCATGTCTTATTTTTAATTTTGTATTTATGATTACTTGACCTGCTGTACTTTGTACTCTTTATCTTTATTATAATTTTCTACCTTTCTACCTTTATTGTTATGCACCAGAATACCAAAGTGTATTTGTTGTATGTGTAAATGTAAGGATTTTATAGAAACAAATTCAAAGTAACGATGTGGGGGGGGGGGGACACACTGCATGTATCCTTGCCCTCATGCAGTGTGACCTAAATGATAGGGGTGGGAATCACCAGAGCCCCCACAATACGATATTATCACGATACTTATGTCACGATACGATATTTTTGCGATTTATTGCAATATTGTATCTTTTTCCCAACTTCAAATTGTGTCCCCAAAGCAAAACTTTTTTTTTCGAGTAGACTGAAAAAGCAATTTTATTAGTGCCAAAAAACAAACTTCTCATGTACAATTTATATAATAAAAGATCAATACTTCACTTCGTGTTGCGATACGATATTCCTGTGAAAAATATCGCGATACTAGCTGTATCGATTTTTTTTTTTTTTTTTCCCACCCCTACTAAATGATGGATTGTGGAAGCAAATCAGGTGGTTGCTGTATCTTTTGCATCTCCACATAACAGCAGCTCTGTTATGTTCCAGTCTACACACCAGCACAGTGCTAAATTTACTCTGCTTTGGCGAGACAGAAAACACTAAGAACCATTTGCTCCCAGCTCTCTCTCGGTCTGTCGCTCACATCGAACCTCCTCTGAACCCCATGAGCGCAATGTGGGCATACATGCTCTCCTGCAAGTAGCAGTTAGTGTGTGTAAGTGTGTTTGCTGCGGGTGCGGTGGTCTGGAGCTGCGGAGAAGAGACGGGGTCAGAGTATTTATATTCCAGAACAATCTCTCATTCTTTGTCGCTCACTCACATTCCCCCAGATCAGATTTCTTTTAAATGATGGTGTTGAGACTGACGACATTTTTGAGGTTTTCTCCCAATCTGTTTTTCTTTGCAGAAACGTTGGAAATAGCAGATTCGGTTTTGAGATGGCTGACATGTCACGCACAAACACTTACAGCACAAACACACATTTTAACACACACGCTGGACGCACAATTAAGCTCACATATGTCAACTGACTGCGGTGTGTGATATATATGCTCAGCTGTAAAGTCAGACAGATTATCTAAAGGTTTGTGGAAGCTGAAGAATGTTTGTGTTAGAGCGAGAGGGCTGTATTTTGAGTTAAAAGGGTGATCCTAAAATAACTAGATGGCCTTGTGAAAGTATGCGACGAAGCGAGGGAACAGCAGGCGAGCTGCAGGAAATGATGGATCTGTAGAACTGAAGTGAATATATGTGACTGAAGAGTGAGATGGAATAGACAGAGGGGGTTGCACATTTTAAGCCATGTGTCGTAATAAATGATCTTTACATTATTGGTCACCATTTCAGTCTGAACATCACATCACTCAAAAGTGAGTTCAGACTGAAAATCACATCACTCAAAAGTGAGTTCAGTCTGAACATCACATCACACAAAAGTGAGTTCAGTCTGAACATCACATCACACAAAAGTGAGTTCAGTCTGAACATCACATCACACAAAAGTGAGTTCAGACTGAACATCACATCACACAAAAGTGAGTTCAGACTGAACATCACATCACACAAAAGTGAGTTCAGTCTGAACATCACATCACACAAAAGTGAGTTCAGTCTGAACATCACATCACACAAAAGTGAGTTCAGACTGAACATCACATCACACAAAAGTGAGTTCAGACTGAACATCACATCACACAAAAGTGAGTTCAGTCTGAACATCACATCACACAAAAGTGAGTTCAGACTGAACATCACATCACACAAAAGTGAGTTCAGACTGAACATCACATCACACAAAAGTGAGTTCAGACTGAACATCACATCACACAAAAGTGAGTTCAGACTGAACATCACATCACACAAAAGTGAGTTCAGTCTGAACATCACATCACACAAAAGTGAGTTCAGACTGAACATCACATCACACAAAAGTGAGTTCAGTCTGAACATCACATCACTCAAAAGTGAGTTCAGACTGTTTTTTATACATCAGTAAAATTAAGCTATGATAAGTAAAGGATGAGTAAACATTATCTAGCCCTGTACCTCTGGGGTGTGGAGTACAAGGCATCATAAGATTTGTTATTAATTAATTAATTTTATCAGAATCAGAATCAGCTTTATTGTCAGGTATGTGTACACATACGATTGTACAATGCTCATGATGTCCTTACTCATACAAAAATACCATAACACAATAATAATATAATAAAATAAAATGAGACACAAACTACAGTATAGACAACACTAATATACACACAATGAACAAAACAATATAGACATATTGACAAATAGTACAGTGATCAGAGTGCAAAAGATGCAAGAGTAAACTATTCTCATTATGTACATGTAGAAGGTGGATATGATATACATGTACACATACATGCATACATGTACACAGTGTGATGGAGCATAGTGCAAAGGATGCTGGAAAAAATAGATAAGAGCTATGAGCTTATGACCTGAGGTAGGTGTATTGGTATAGTATAATATATACAATGACATAGTATGAATAGCACTGAAGGTGCTGTTATTTTATTGATCTAGAGCATTACTTGATTTTCTTCTGGAAAAAGGCAAATAACTGCTGGCGCCGTGAAAGCTTTGGAGTGGAATCAATTGTTAGTGTAATAAGTGACTGTAAATATAGTTGAGCTTGAGAGGCAATCCATCACAGTGAATATCATGTCATCTATATTATTTCTTACAATATTGTTGTGTAGTAGCAGATGATTGTAAAGTATGTAATTGAGCTGACATTTGCTTGGGTAAAAAACTCTTGACAGCTCAGACCTTAAACAACTGAAGTAATATTTATCAGGTCATCACTTTCATAATTTTAAATACCTCACACTCACTTGTGTCAGCCGTGTGTATGATCATTCTTAAGCTTTCAACCCATAGAGGTCGGTGCAGCAGTGCTTTTCCTCCCATACAAGATTTAGTGTGAAGCTGCTCTTTAAGAAGTTGAACTTTGCCACCTAATGTCATTTCCAGGATTAGCTTCTTTCAGGAGTTAACGTTCCACACACATTACAACTAGCAGATACTGGTATCTCTCAATCTCCCAGCAGGCTGTGTGGGTGCACTTGCAGTGTATGATGCATCATCAGTGTCATGAGTGGGAGAGGATAGTGTCACATAATTAAACATGTAGGCCAATGTGGGTGGGCACTTTGGTGTTGCCAAATTGTATTCTGAATTGCATTTACAAAGTGTTGAATCCACACGAATACTGAAAGATTACTGGAACACTGCAACAGCTAGGATTTAGATGTAAAGCGTATGTTTGACTCCAATCCATAGTGTACTAAATGGTGTGAATGTTGGTGTGTTTTCAGGTGGAGCAGTCCAAAGTGCTGATTAAGGAAGGAGGGGTTCAACTGACACTCACCATTGTCGATACACCAGGGTTTGGAGATGCAGTGGACAACAGCAACTGGTGAGGAGTGCTGGCATAATCAAAGTGTTAACATGTGAACAGTTAGATCTTACCAAAATCCATATAGGCAAGTCATGCCACTCAGCAGCCATCTTGGCAATGCCGCCGGGCAGCTATTTCAGACTAACAAGACCAGGCTCCTATCTGAATGAATGGGGAGAGCGCCAGATCTGCACTTTCACTGCTCACCGGGACATAAAAACTACATGAATAGAATCAGCAGTAAAATCTAATTAAAATCGCTGAAAAACTTTGACAACTTTGACAACCCCAAAATAAGGTTTAAACAGCGTTTTTCCGAACCAGTTATGCTTCCAGTACGCATGCGTTACTACTACCACACATGAGCAATAGAAGTAAAACAGACCCTTAAGTCAGAGCAACCACACGATTGGGCTTTGGGCTTTCCCTATAGAGTTGTATTGAGGATGTGATTGAGTCTCCTCTATAAAACGTCTCTGATCTTACCAAATGATCATATGTTCTTTATTAACCAACGTCCTCTTTTCTCTGCCTGATGTCTTTTCTCCATCTTCCCAGTTGGCAGCCAGTCATAAATTACATTGACAGTAAGTGCGAGGACTTCCTCAATGCAGAGTCGAGGGTGAACCGCAGATCCATGCCAGACAACAGAGTCCACTGCTGCCTATACTTCATTGCGCCCTCTGGACACGGGTAGGTCTGCATTAGATGAAGGTGTAATAAGGTAGAGTCAAGTATGGTGAGACGAAATGAGGCTATAATGAGATAAATCAATGCCCAATAATGCCTCATTGAGTACCTCAAGCTGAATCGTTTTGGGAGGAGGCCAGGTCAATCTCAAGTATTTAAAGCAAAGGTGAATGATAAATGGCCTGTATATATAAATTTGATGAAGCAAACATTTGCTTATTTACTCATCCTGCACACAAAGAGCAACATTAGCATGTATTTGGAGTTGTGTTTTTGGCCACCTGATGAATGGAAGTCCATTATTCACTCAACTTTAGCTCTGTTTTGGTCACCAAAAATCAACTCCTGAGAAAAATATCTGGCGCTGTAGCTGCGAAATACTCCACTATATTCATCAGCTAATTGCTAACTTTGTCTGTCTGCCATATGGTGCTGGGCAGGTTAGGGCTGTGCCCAGCACCATATGGCGATATAGATCATTTGACGATAGAAAAATGTCTATCATTTACAAATATGCTGTATTGTTTTTGCAAATTCTACACTTTACAGTAATATTTTTGCAAAGGAATGACGCTTTGCACCACAGTAAAGTTAGTTTTAAATTGGTTATAACTTGGATATAGAGAACCTAAGCCCCTCCCCTTCCAGTGGACCACCATGGGACCTTACTTCAAAAAAAGTCTGCACGGATCAGTCTATTGTTGTCTGTTAAATACCCAAAGCTAGAATGTCAAAAAACACTTATGGGGTCAGCTAAATTTCTCTAAGCTAGGACCTGTCTTACCTTTCCCTGTTATATCAACAATGCCCCTTAAGAAATATTCTCAACAGTAGCTATAGCAGCGTGAGAGCTGTGAGTATCACTGTCTGAAGCTGATACGCTTCTCTGGGAGCGTCTTGTCCTCTCATGTTAGCTTTGCAGTCAACATGAGAGTTTAGCTAACATCACAACTTAGCTAACGTTAGTTACATTGCTGTGTTTTTGTTCACTGTACATCATGTTATTGGATTTCTCCAGAATTACATACCTCACCTTTTATGTTGGAAATTCCAACAGTAACTCATGATATTTCATTAAATTTGTTATTTTTTATAAGTTCTGTGCTGCCCTTGCAATGCGATCTCTTGTGCAAAGCTAGACAGCCAGTTAACATTCAAAAGTCCTCCAATAAACACACAAGGCTTGACTTTTATTTCATTTATCAGTTGTTTCCTCTTTTGTTTTGTAAAACTGAAACATTACAGAATAAGAATATAAATCAGTACCCAAAACATGAACATATGCATACAGACATTACATATGATACACATAACAATGTTACTACACAATTCCTATCAAAGTGTAAAACAAGCACTGTAGCCTACTGTATGAAAACACAGTTTACCTACCACAACATCTACAGATGATTGAAAATTATTTATACATCACTTACAGGCACATAGTCTGAGAGGCTGAAGTGTATCAGAAATACAATCAGCAACATGAATCCAGCACTGTCTTTCTTGCCTGTCTGTGTTCAACTGAAGTGTGCTTCACTGAATTATTTACCCTGACCAGTAGAGGGCAGCACCCAGCATGAACCCCTCTAATTTAACTTTTTAAGCTCAGTTTTCTAACTTATTCAACTATTAACTTAACTGTAAAGACAGCACAAGTTCTATGTCGGGATATGTATCGTTATTGTGATATGAAATGATCCTATCAGGATATGAGATTTTAAATCCGATCGCACAGCCCTAGAGCAGGTAGTGGGTTTATTAGAGTATTTGTTGAAAACAGCTTCCTGCTGCGTCTGGAAACTGATTCAAGCAGTGAGGAGAATAAATCAGCAGTAAAGTTATGGGTGATTAAAAAACAATCAACTGAAAGATGCTAAAACGTTGAGGTTAACTACGGTCGGGTGACGGTTCTCTGTGGGTCAGTCACTACGAGAGACCCCTTTCACATTAGAAAGTAGTCATTTGATCCATTGTTAACATAAAATATTGAGTATAGCAGCTTTAAGTTTCTTCCATGGCTATAATTTTATGCAGTATCATAGTTCCAACCTTGAGAAGGAAGACATTCTGTAGCCAGCATTTTAGAAGCAGCATTTGGCAAGTGGGCGGATGGTTTTGTTCTGGTCAAGATGCCCCCTTTTCGAGGCTATTTGTATTCAAATGTGTTATAAACAATAACCAACATTCATCTCTACTGGTCCAAATGACAGTGCTGTGCCAATCAGTAAACCTATGTGACCTATGACCTTTCTTTGCCTTGGAGATCCTCTGCCGGATATGCAAGCTAAAGCTCAAGCAAAAGGGTGTGTGTGTCTATGCCAGCCAGTGCTTGTGACCCACAAAGGTTATATAACCCAGTTCTGCTCATGCTCAGTAGAGTTCTGCTCTCCATCACTGAATCACCCAATCAGAATGGAGGCTCGGAGCAGCTCACAGAGACAGGCCTCTCATCTCAGACAAACACACTCTGTCTCTGTGTGTGTGTGTGTGTGTGTGTGTTTGCATCCCTGAAACATCCCCTGTTTCTCAATATAGCTGCAGCGCCAGACTGAGTTAAAATGTGGAGCTCTGTTTCCACAAAACCCAAGATCCATCAGGCTTACTGATGGTGATCTAAATCATCCCTGGGTTGTTTAAATCTGCAGAGTTGAGTCAGCCAAGTGTTTAAACTTACATTAATGTGCAAATTCTTCACTAGTACCAGCCAGAAAGCGTATGAACGTGTTGCTGTCTGTTGATAAGGCAGTTGGCCTCTTTTCTGTTTTCAGCTTCCCCCTGTAAAACTGCTTTTTTTCTTCTGACAGGCACACATCAAAATCTGATACTTACTGTCACATTTAGCCAGGGACAAGAAGAGGAACAATACACAAGACATCGAAAGTGTGTTTAGAAATGTAAAGAGTAACTATAAATGTTTTTGAGAGTATTGGAAGTGTTTGAGGAGGGATTTCTAGCCACGCACCTTGGCTCAAGGGATGGTTATGCCTGTCGGCCGTTGGGTCCGTCCGTCCACCACTTCGGTCCACAAGCATCCCCATAACTAAAGGATGGATTGACTGGAGCAGATATTCACGCCCACTCGGGATGACAAGCTACAATGCTAAACGTTAGCATTGTCATTACGAGCATGTTAGGATTTAGCTCAAAACAGAGCTGTGCTGTCTCACACAGAGACTAGCTAGCATGGCTGTAGCATAGCCACTTATGTAAGAGGCAAATGATTTTTAACGACTATTATGAATTTTAACAACTTAAAATCATTGAGTGTAGAAGATGTTACTGTGAATTTAGATGTTACTGTGAATTTAGACGTGTCTTTAATTTCTCTGCTGTGATGCTGCAGTCGTTATGTTTATTTGACTGCATTCAGTTTAGACTTGTGTCGGGTTGGAAGTTGTGAGTAATATTACTACTCATTAGACTCATTAGACCTCATTAGATTGCAGCTGTAGGAGGCGCATGTCTTAAAGGGACCTAAAATACATTAATCTGGAAATCAGAGTTTTCTGCCCAGCACAGTGCAGTAAGTGCAAGTGAGTTTGAACATCAGTTTGCTACACTTCTCTGTATTTGACAGCTCTATAAATGTCAATAAAAGGCTGTGGCATGCCCCAATCTTGTATTCCAAGATTGTTGATAGAAATTCAGTCTAACCATTGAGGCACTGACAAGTCACTAAATCTTAGTTATCCATCAGATAATTGTTCTTTTTCTGTCTCTCTGCTGTTATATAGTTTCCTAGCAGACTGTGTACACATTCAAACCTTCTCCCACAGTTGCAGAAATGTAGTTTGCATGCTGCTGCTTCCATATTTTAAATCCTATAAATCCTGCATTAAAAGTAAACTGCATGCTCATGTTTCCAAGCTTAGCCTGTCTGTGGTGTTTTATACCCCAAGAAACCAAAGGGAGAATAAAGGAAAAGTTCCAACAGTCAGTACAACCAGCAGTGAGTGCTGCTAGGTTGATAAATCACTGTCAGTGTGTAAAGACGATTTATGATTTACTGAAAAGAGTAACTTTTTGAGATCACATAAGTGCGTTGACAGTCAGTATCTCATGCAGTCTCCCCCTGCTTAGACCAGACAATCTGACTCCTGTTTTCTCTGGGACTGCATTCCCTCCAGGGCTCCTCTGATCCTGCACTATACACGGGCCTGACCCTGGTCTTACGGTCTCTGTGTCCCTCTGTGAATTAGTGAATCACTTGACAGCTGTTTTGTCGCCCTATTTGTTTTTCTGCATTTGTGGAATGAGTATCTCAGCATCCCCTTTACTCACTCTCATTACACGCAGACACACATGTCCGCACATAGCAGGCATCATTTGAATGTACATATATAAAGATAACTGCATTCATAGGGGTACAACTGGATACAAGTATTCAACCATGTACAGTTATATTTTTACATAAATTTCTCCCATTATGCAGCACATACTCACTTTCCACATACACTGCCCACACTTGCAAACAGCCCACCAACTTCATGCCATATGAGAGCTCTGTTTCTGGCCACACAACTAAATACGAGTCCTACTTGTCATTCAGACAGAGACAGAGAGCCTATGGGAGTATTACAAAGACAATCTGTCATCAGCCCAGCAAGACAGAAGCATTAGTTGTCACCACAGAAGAAGAGCACATAAGACAAAAAGTCAGTCACACTCAACTGGCCTCATTGTGTCTTCTTCTTGGGCTACATGTACATGTTTTGTTTGGCCCCCTGCTGGTGACCCTCTGAACTGCATTCCATTTGGAAAGCTGTGCACTGAGGAAGCCCACTGTGGCATTTTCTTTAGATTCATTCTTGTCAATGAATTATTTGTTCACAGAAATAATGACTTTATGTAGAAAATAAATAGACTTCCGTTGATTTGTTGATGGTTTTGGTGAAATTTGTAGTTCTTATGGTTTTCTTTCTGTCTACCCTTCAGTCTGAAGCCGCTGGACATCGAGTTCATGAAGAGACTCCATGACAAGGTCAACGTCATCCCTCTTATTGCAAAAGCCGACACTCTGACCCCAGAGGAGTGCCAGCTTTTTAAAAAACAGGTATTTGTGTATGGATGTGTCACATCATTGGGATAAGCAGACCTCTGTCTAACCAAGGTTAACAGACAGAACAATTTGTCACACATGTGGGGCTTATTTTACTCATTTTGGGAGGTACACTTATTAGCTTTCTTTCAGAGAGTTAGTTAAATCGATATCGCTCATTTCTATGCGTCATGTATGGAGCTAGAGCTAAGAGGGAATTAGCCTACTCAGCATAAAGACTTGAAACAGGTGGAAACAGCTCGCCTGGCTCTATTCTTAATAAACATCTTTAAAATAAGCATTAAATGTCAAATTATTCCTTTTAAGTGTAAAAGGATTTTAAACCCAAAAGACAAATTAAAATTAGTTTCTTCTGATTACTTTCTCCCTTTGTCAGATTATGAAAGAGATACAGGAGCACAAAATCAAAATTTATGAATTCCCAGACACGGAGGACGACGAGGACAACAAGCTCATCCGAAAGATCAAGGTAATGGACCACACAATCTTGTTAGTCTTCTAAAACTTGATTTAAGTACGGTGATTGTTCTCAGCCGTAAGACAGTTAAATGGAGCCGCAGACAGCCAAAGGTCAGTTTGTCCTTTGGTCAGTGTTCAGCCCCTGCAGCTGCCTCCATCCAATTCCCCCGTGCCTGGCAGCCTAATTGCATAACTGATTACCAGCTTTATAGACAAGCTCATTGAAGAACTTTCACTAGGGATCATCGTCCATGTCACGCCTGCCTGAGTAACTGCTGCCTCTGGCAACAGCCACGAATAGTACCACACGTGAAATAACCCCCCCAATCATTTAGATGTTGGCCATCATTACTGCAGTGAGATTTAGCAGTAAGTAATCCCAGATGCACGCAATTAACTGGAATGAAACCGTGACCAATAAGATATGGAAGAGCAGTCTTTCAAACAGCAGTAAGCAGCAGTCCTTCCAGAAAGAGCCATAAGAACAGTAAAGAAAAAAAAGTCTTTTGTCTTTCCACTCCAGGAGAAGATGCCACTGGCAGTAGTCGGCAGCAACGTGGTAATCGAGGTGAACGGCAAGAAGGTCAGAGGTCGCCAGTACCCGTGGGGCGTGGCAGAAGGTAGGTTCACTCAGGTCCACTGCCGGAAAGGAAGGACATGGCTTTTTGGCATTTTGTGGCCAAACTGAAAGGGCCTAGAAAATAAACTACAAAACGAAGTGTACGCACATTTTGAAAGTTCACGAGGCGCATCGTTTAAGCATTTTCTTCTAAGAAAGACATTTGATGGACAGTGTGTCATTGCACCTTGGTCAGACGATGACAGATGTGAGAGAGAGGAGGACGCATGTTGGCGTTTGAAAGCTGATGTGTTTGAGACTGTCCAGCAGTCACAGTATTATTTCTACAATGATGAATGAAGCATGATATCCCTGAGAGTGTGCGACATAGTGCATGTTTTCCACAATGATCCCCGTATCCACTGAATGTATTAACTACCAGGTAATACAATGACTTGTCAAAATGTACTCTGGACCAAAGTCAAAGTGTTGTCCTGCCACATGGCACAAAATGATTCTAATACACCTGCTGGAGCTTTGAATGATTCTTCTTAAAATAGATTAATTTTAGTAGATGTTTTTTCATTTCATAATTGTTGGACAACAAAAATTAAAAGCCACATTTAAACCATGACTTTAATAAAGTAATGCTCTTCAACATTAGTCTCAGCTAGGGTTCATTTTGGTTTTTGTGTCCATGAAAATTCTGTCAATACTTGAGAGGTACAGTGTTGTAAGATAAAATTAATTGTCCCGAAAGAAATTTGTCTTGGACACATACAGTGTCTGCTGTTAAAAGATACAAAATAACACTGTGCATACCTACATGTACACACTGTCACTAGTCCACACGCACAGACTGCTACCAACCTACAAATTTCACACTGCCCGTCGTACAGCGCACCTGCTATTACTCATCAAAGAAATGTACATAATATATGCAGTAAGGGGATATTAATGGATTTAATCCCATCTGATTTTAAACCAAGCGTCATCCAGTGGGGTCACAGAAGACAACAGGGACCGTGGTTTAATACCCCACACCTCTAGCTTGGCCCCATGAAACAACAATAATTGGGAGTGTTGACAGCTGGGAAGCCTGTGAGTTTTCATGCCCTTGTTATCAACAGTATCAACTCCTACTGATCAGTCAGGCTGCCTTTTACTTTGTTCCTCTTTGTTTTTCTTGTTGATGTCCAGGTAGTGTTTTAAAACTATATTGTAGACCGTTTAGAAGCCACTGACCAGGACTCCTATGTGGTGGAGTTGCTCCCAGCGGTCAGTGCACATTTGCATAAAGTTGAACTTTCCCACGTTGCCGCGCTGAACGCCTTTTGAGGTCTCAGTGTCTCAGTTTTCGAGGGTCAGTTCACAGTGACTGGCAGCTTGTCACTTTTTGAGTCTGTATGTGTGAATGGAGGGTTAGCAGTGACAAGGACTGCCAAAGCGTCTGGAATAGCTAATGAACTGAACTTTGCCTTTAGAATATTTTATCACTTATGTGTTCCCAAGGTCAAGAAAGAACCTCCACATTTTATTAGAGGGTTTACAATCTTTTTTCTCTTGGAAATGGGAAATAAATGAGTGCTCCTAAAGATGTTGTTACATTTTGACAAGTATGAACTTATCTGACAGTTATTACATTGCTACCTTATACACCCAACTGTCTTCCCCTCAGTGCAAGCAAACTCACATGCACACAGTCTCTTTGGTAGTGCTGGTCCTGACCCTGATAGGGATTCTGGAAAAGGAGGATAGATTTAGTGTAATATGGGATATGTTGTTTCAGTATGGCAGCAAGCACTGACTGACCCAACCAACTTCTGAGACTGCCACGTTTTCACCATTAGCCACGATGAACTGTTGTTGCTCTTACTGGTGTGTTAGTTAAGTAAGCAAGTTAAGTAAGTTTTCATTTGTTTTAAAGTCCTCTGGAAGATGATTTACTGTATATATCCTTATATAAAGTAATTTGTTGCTCTGTGGTTGACCGTTTATCAGTCTTTCACTTTTCATTCTTTCTTTTCTCTCTTTTTTCTTTGTCTATTCTTTTCCATGACTGACAGAGGGCATTTTTGGTAAACCAAACCATCTTTCACTTTATTTCAGCCTCATTTTCTCCCCTACTCCTCCTCCTCCTCCCTGAGAGTGCCCCCCGCCCCCAAACTCTCCAGCCCTCCTTTCCCTCCACTTTTCTGTTGCTGTGCTGTCTCATCATTAGGCTGATGGTCAAACCAATGCTCTAATCAGACTTGGGCTGAATACTTTTAAAACTTCAGTACTGAAATACACCATATTTTGGAAACATTTGAAAACAACAAAGAGCACAGACTTGTGAGCGTATTATATTTTGAAATACAAAAGAACATAGACACCAAAATCATTCATGTGTTCCCAGTAAAACATTTGTCCCTGCTCTCTCTGCTAACACTTTTCATACACTGTGTTGAACGAACCCCTACAGTGAGAATGGCTGCAGTAAGAAGACTTCACTTTTATAAAAAGATTTTAGTGGCAATTATTAATACAGTATATAATTTAGAGTCTCATATTTTATAGAATAACTCAATGTACACACACATACACACCACATGTGATTCTGCACATGAATTGGTATGGCAGTAGCCCTGGTTAATCTAACAAACACTTCAAGAAAGCAGCCACAAATCCATTTTCTGAACAGCAGTGTCATTGTACCAAACACACCTACACCACACAATGTTACAGATATGTATATGTTAGCTGATAAGTATTAAGATATTGTGTGCAATACATCAAACAGAACAAATCCCCACTGATCCACCCACACCAAGGAGAAAGACGAACCCCGCCACATCAGAGAAAACCCCACTACATAAACCTATTTGCTTCATCGTCTCAATCCTTGAGTCATTTTAAAGAAATTCTTTATACCTCAGGAAGAGTAAACAGTCTCATTATAGTGTATGCTAGCTGTTACTGTGAGGCAAAAGGGCCACACATGAATAATTATTTTTGTTGTCTTTGTTCTTAACCCTTAATTTGATAGTCGACCCGCAAGACAATCTTTCAAAACCTCACTGTATGTTTTTAAAGGATTATTCCAGTTCACTACAACTTATTTAGATAGCTTTGACTAACATTTCTATCAGTTACGACAATACTGTACTCTCCACAATCATTACTGAGATCTGGGAACAGAGTGACGGAGTCTGATGGGGCAAGATCATTTCGTTGCCAGATCCCAGCAATGTTCTCATTACTGAGAGCAATGATGGGAAAAATCCAAAAATAAGACCACGGTTGTAATAAACAGGAATTATCCTGCAAGGCGCATTTGATGAGGTTTACTCGACACACATCTTAACATTTTAAACCTGTTTGGGGTTCTCAGCAGGGTTAAAGCTTTTATATGCTCACATGTTTTGCCCCAGGTCTGATGCTGTGAATAGTCATGGAGAAAACTAGAGGCTGTTTGGTGCTGAAGCTACAGCTGCGATAGAAACATCACTCTAACGCTGTGGTTCCCTTCTTTGATCCTATGGTATCCCACACTGTGGTACCGTTTCATGTCAGCCCTGCTTCACCACATGATTCAGCTCACTGTTTTATGCTAGAGTTGAATTGGCTGTGTTGGTGCAGGGTGAAAACGGTGTACAGGCCTCGCTGTATCACTGGACCAAGGAGTGGGAATACATCATCCTAACGCATTGCTTATAGGTTCATGAGCAGTTAATGGTGAGTTAGTGTTTTCCAAAAGGGCATGTAGCAGCTCATTTAATTCATCAAGGTAACAAGTGACTTGGTATCATGAATTTTCACTCATTGGCATACTTTTAATGTAAGACTGTCGCAACACACTGTGTGCAAAACATCCTGCACATACGCACACTTATGCATGTTCTAAGTAAAACCGTTGTGGGCTCTTGATCCATTAAACCAACACAGTTCACCATCATGCACACACTGCTAATAGATTAAGCATTCAGGCTGAAAACACCTGATGAGCTGAGACAATTTGCGATGAAAGTAATTGACAAATAAAAAAACAAAATGATTTGGATAAAAAAATACAGTATGCATCAGGTGTTTTCTGCTGTTCATCAACAAATAAGATCTGTATACTATAAGTTACAAAGTTTCTTTTTCCTACGACCCTTGACCCCACTTAGCTCCTCCACTTATTCCCTCATTGAGACTTGCACTCCCAGCTGGTCATGCATAGATCCTCATATAACACTCCCTCCAACCACCACACTCCCTCTACAAGCCCTGCGCTCTTTAGCCAGTCAGCTTGGACACATGCAGGTTATGGTGTTGATCCGGGCCAAATCTGGGCTGAATCTGGGCCAAACATAGGCCGATTGTGGGCTCGAACGGGGCCAAGCCTGAGCTATACTAAACCCAGCTGCTCCAGACCCAGATTTAGCCCCCGCTGGGCGCAGACAGTAACTGAAAAACCGTACCCCTCCCCTCCGTCAGAGCTCCCTCCTCTAGAAGAGACAGGAGGTCAATGGCTGGCTTTGGAGGCCAAGGGGCAGGACTGCTTAAGTTTCATCAATGGTAAGGTGTCCTCCTTATTCGCTCCCCTGATGATGATTGACTGCCAGTGGGGTGGAGGCTAACCAATAAGGAGCAGCGTATTTGATGAAGAGGAGGCTGGAGATCCACTACATACATCCTCAGCAGCAGTTTATCTGCAGTCCTTTTCCAGAATCCCATCTGACCCTGTAACCATGTCTTTGTTGTTGAGATGAAAACTCATCTAACTGTACCATGTTGAAATGAGACCAGTTCTGTTAACTGTTGTCTGACCAAGAACTCTTGTTTGTTCTAACTATATGGCGTCTCTGGGGTCCAACAGTGAAAGGCTATGATCAGATAGGAGGCTTTTTTTCTTGTGCTGAAACACAAACCTTAGCTGCGAGCACCGCTACTAAAACAGAGCAGGTCACATCTCAGTGCTATGAAGTTATGTGGAAAGCTACATACTGTAGTTCATGCTGAAGTGTAGTAAGATGCAGGTCTGCGATTTAAAAAAAAATCCTCCAGCTTTATGAAGCATTTTAGCATCTTTCAGCTCATTGTTTTGGCCACAACTTTACTGTTCAGTGTCACACGTCTTTGCACTATTGTTTTCAGAAAACCCACTGTACACTAAGAGGTTGCATTAAACCTTCTTATCCGTCCTTGTAACAGACAGGGACGTAAAAATAAAGGATTACGAGGCAGGTCTTGTGCGACAGACCTGCTCCCCAATATCACACTCCATGCGCGGACACAGGGCGTGTACATTTTACAACAACAAACGAAAGTAGAGGGAAACGTGGGATAATGGCGGCAGCCAAACCGACAGTTTTGTCCGGCATCAACTCACACTGAAGTGTTTCAGCAGCGGAGCGTTCAGCCTACATGTTGTTAGCATGTTGTTAACAGACAACAGCTCTCTTTGAGCCCGTTCCGTTCTCTGCAGGCTAACGCTACATATACATGGAGCATTTCAGAATAAGAGCGTTTTGCCTGTCTGAATTTGCTGACTTGCTCAGATTTTGCTTATTTGTTCAGTTGTCCTTGATTTTTGTGCTTCTACAATGGTTAGGTAGGCTACGTAGTTAAACTGTTTCTTTCTTTTGTTAACTGTGTTTATTGTTGATGTACGATCTGGAGTCTACAATGGGAGTTTTATTTAAAAAATCTCCCTGTCGTTCTTTGTCTGACTTCCTGCCTGGTTCATCTGCTCTGTGCTGCTTTACGCTGCTTCTGTCAAAAAGTAGACTGGCAGTTTAGCAAAACTTCAATAAAAAATCGCAAATCGAATCGTAATATCTGACAGAAATATCTCAATCAGATTATTTTCCCAAATCGTTCAGCCCTCCTCACGATAATACTCGGACAGGTGTGTTCATGTTAAAACACTGTTTTCTCTCAAGTGTTGCACTTTGTGACTTTTTAACTGCAGTTACGCTGATGGGGTGATACTGTTTCATAATAAGCACAGTGACACAGCCTATTTAAAAGCAAACAAACTATCACAGTAACATATAATATATATATAAAGGACATGGAGGGTTTTGATAAATAAAATTACAGGTGCAACAGGATATTTTATACATTTGTCAAAAGTTGTTGCATATGATTAGAAATTATATATAGTATATCACAATAAAACCTAAACTTCACACACATCCAAATAACGCAGGCCGGAGTTTCCAGAAAAATATAGCCATCTGTTAAAGCCCCACTTTAACTTTGCATTTGCAACCATTTAGAAGATTTCTCAATATGTTCTACACTATAGAAATCACACTATCATACAAAACAAATGATTCTGATATTAAACTGCACAGGCATTGTTTGCTGTTGAAGGTGCACCTGAACATCTCAGCTGTCCCAACTGTTACTCAGCTAAGACACGTTTGTCTGAGTAACCTGCTGCAACCCTGCCTGAGAGAATGAAAGCCATGTGCTCATATTAAAACCGTCCTATGTGATCATGGCCTGATGTCCCTCTGCCCTTTGTTTTGTGTTATTGTGCTACTACAACTGACACTGTACAATGCCTCCTCGTACTTTAAACACTGGCTACACCTGAAAATACCTTTCTCTCCGTGTACCCCTCCCTTTATAACTGACGAATGAATGAACTGAACATACGGTGATATGTGTGTGTTTGTACCATGAGGTAGGAACATTCATTTTAACTTGGTGGTGTTCTGCTTATATCTTAACCTTTCTATATTACCACTTCACTGTGTACGTTTAATCATGTAAATAACACACACTACAGTTGTGTTGAACTTACTCACCTAAAAACACGTTAACGTGTGTTTCTGCTGGGACTGCCTCTCGATGTAGCAGTTCATCTATGTTATCTATGCAGTAAAAAGAGTTCAGTGCAGTTATTTAGCACCTGTAGGACGGCCTGTAAAAATACCTGTAAAAGCTCAGATAGTCATGCTTGCAATTTATTTCTAGCTCAGTTTTCCTTTAGACCAGATAATGATCATTGTGATTACTGCCATGATAAGTGTTTGTGTATAGTAATTTTAGTATGTATGTCTCTCTCCACCCCCTCTCTGTCTCGCTCTCTCTATCTCTCTCTCCCTCCCTGTGTGTTGCAGTGGAGAATGGGGAACACTGCGACTTCACTGTGCTGCGCAACATGCTGATCAGGTGAGACCCGCGTTAATTTCCCACACTCACGAATGCTACTTCATTTCTGCACTCTAGAAACAAATGTTTAGTCTCAATGGAAAACGCATCAGTTTGCATCAATCTTTTTGTCATGACAACTTCTGGTGAAATTATATTGAACAAACAAACTACTACTACTACTATTGAGTTAGGGTAATTAGCTTTTCCTCTACAATCAAAGACAATTTTTATTGGCACTTACCTAATTTTTGGTAGCTTAAAGTCAGGTGTTTAAGTTTATTACTCATTATAATTAAGTTGCCCCCACTAGTTTTTCCACATTATTTTAAAGTCATTTTACTTAATTAGCATAATCTTGAACACACTATTTAAGTTGAAAACAATTGTAACCCTCTCTGTGGAGATTGTGCTGGTGCTACAACATCTGCAAGTGAAAGCGACACTTTGTGCAGATCTGACTCTTTCCTGAGTTTCCTGAGGGTGATTTCTTAATAGATGTGATCTAAGGCACTCCATATTTTGTAGTATTAAAAACAGTCTTGGTGAGGACATGGCACATTCCCCATCATGACCATGGGCGTAACCTGTAATGTTTTAGCAACCCTGTTTTTGTAGAGGTTTCATATTTATATAATTTTCACACCCAGCCCATTTCTTTTTAAATATAGGCCAACTTAACAAATTGTCTTAGATTGACAGAGTATCTATATGTCAACTGTTGACGCAAAGTCTAAATGTCAAGTAGATACACATACACCTGGCAGAATCACATTAACAAAAGTGTTACTGACCTTGAAATGTGCTTTACATCAAGTCTTTTCAGCCGACAAGTTCGCTCACTAACGCTGTCTTACTGTCTTAATTTGTCCAAGCATGTTAAGTGGGTAGGGGAGTGAACTTGAAATCCTAAAGTAGTTGTAAACCCATTTGAGTTCAAATTGCATGCAAAATTAAGTTGATGAAATTACCAACATAATTATTTGAACATAACTCATAAAAATAATATTAATCAAGTGGTGGTAACAGGTCCCCTAAATTACTTTTCAGAGTGTAACCTTTTGATGAATGACACTGTTTTACACAGAGAGGCCACTAGAGGCTGACACATTTCTTTTAATGGCCACATTAGTTTACAGTACATGCATTATATTGTCTCAGACGCTAGTGTGGCTATAGTCAAAGTTTATTAAATGTAAAATTAATTTGTAGCCTTAGCTTCTTCCCTTATCTATACCTATTCTTTCCCACTCGTCCTCCTTCTTGCTTACCTTTACCTGATTTGTTTTCTTTGTCCTCCCACTTCCAAAGGACCCATATGCAGGATCTAAAGGATGTCACCAACAATGTCCACTATGAGAATTACCGCAGTAAGAAGCTTGCTGCCGTCACCTGTAATGGAGTGGACACTTCCAAAACCAAGGGACAGCTCACTAAGTACGCTTCAGTTACTAAACTTCTCTCATTTTAATGACGGAGAACACACTACTTGTTGAATATGCAGCCTGTTGTTCCAGCTTTCCTTTTGTGTTTTTATTTATTTATTGGTGACCTTAGGCATGCTCACAAGAAAGTAAAGGTCACTCGCTGTCTTTCTTTCAACAGGAGTCCCCTGGCACAGATGGAGGAGGAGCGCAGAGAACACGTCATGAAAATGAAAAAGATGGAGGCCGAAATGGAGCAAGTCTTCGAAATGAAGGTTAAGGAGAAGAAGCAGAAACTGAAGGACTCGGAGGCGGAGGTGGGTTTGTGTGAGAGATAAAAAAGATGATACAGTTTTTGCACTGTCACCATTCAGGGCGGCCAGCAAAATCACATTATCACTACTCACCCGCAGCTCTCTACTGTCGCTTTTCATGGGACATTTTTGATTGTGATTGGCTGGCAGGTGTCCATTACCTTGAAATAGCAGTTTGATAAAAAATAATCCAAAACCTGTAGTATGGAACTTTTGTCTCCTCCGTCTGACAGTGAGAGGAATTACACAATACTGTCTACGCACATATGACCGAGGGGGTAAGCCACAGTTGAAACAATGAAGGCGACCAAAGCCTGCATGGACCATGGTTCCATGTAGGCCCAAAAATGACGTCAAAACCCTGTGACATCCCGTCGCACATGAGAGATGTAACCGTGCTTAGATTCTAAACTCTCTGTGAATCTAAAACAGCTATTCGGCCATCAGTGACGCTGCGCCGGTGTTTTCAGAATCTTGTGAGCCTTGTAGGTGAGCTGAGCCAAGAGACTTTTTACATTACATTTATTCATTGAGCTGACGCTTTTATCCGAAGCGACTTACAATTGTTATATTTGTCAGAGGTCGCATGCATATGACGTATAGGCTCTGCCATACTGAACTGCTGCTACTGCTACACTACGTTGGAATAAAACACATCACTACCGGTTTGCCACAGACACCAGATTTGAAAAGTCCTGTACATTGCCAGATTTACCTGGCAGTGATGGGCTTAATCAGCATTGTGTCAACTTGTTTGGCATGGGCATTTGTAAAAATCCCGCACTCCAGCTTCAACTCAAGGTTAAAGGTTACTATCTTTTTCTGGAGCTTTTAACATATATCAGTCTTGATCAGTGGAAGTTTCTCAGTTGTCATATAAAATAACCATAGACAAGTTCTGTGACAACTGAACACACACACAGACAGTGAGACATGATGGAAAGCTCTGGGAAAAGCTAGTACAGTTCTTTTTGTCAGATTTAAAAAAGAACTATTTCACACTTTTGTTGTTTGCATGAATCTGTTTGAATCAGCGTTAGCCTCAGTAAAGCTCATCAGATCTGTAGCTGATGAACAGCTAGACAGAAAGGAGAGAGAAAATGTGACCAGAACTGCATCGAAAATAACTGGAGTCACAAGAAGTAGTATAAAATCAAAAGAGACAGCGATAAAGAGCAGACATCTTTTTTTCTGTGACAGAGGGAACGGGGACAGAACTGGTCGGGATTTTCGTAACTCCTAGCCTAGCCTTGAGAAATGGTGAAAGAAGTATATTTCAGGCTAACTGAAAAACAAGATCAAAAACAAGTGAATAAAAGACTGATGGTGATCGCATGTGCTATTGAAGGGAACATGGGACTTGTCGGCTCATTATCTTACATACTTATCCCTTACAAAAGACTTCAGCTCTAGTTTTGTTGAGTTTTGACATTTACAGTGGGTGTACATTTGAGTTTCCTGTCTTTGAGAGTGAGTCTTTCTAATGTTTTGACCCTCAGCTGGAGCGACGCCACGAACAGATGAAAAGGAACCTGGAGGCGCAATATAAAGAGTTGGAGGAGAAAAGACGAGTGTTTGAGGATGAGAAGGCCAACTGGGAGGCTCAGCAGAGAATCCTCGAGCAGCAGAAACTGGACGCCTCCAAGTCAGTAACACTCAAAAAGCTGATTGCCAATTTGCTATTGGTTCATTTTTTCAAGTGTGCTGTATGTCTACTGATACAAAATGTCCTTTGACAATATTGTTGGCATTGTCAATCGATTGGATTTCATCGTTGGATTTTTCTACAATAAGACATTAACTATATTTTGTTAGTGCTGGGACACATTTTCAGTTTCAGTACATTTCTCTTTCCTGTTTGGGATATGGACGTACATTATCTGGTACCTTCACTGACCTCTAGAGGTTACAATCACAAACAGCAACAATTAACAGTCACTTCATTTGGCAAAAAATCTTAAATGACCATTTGGTAGATATTTTCTGCTATTTATTAGAGTTTTTGGCTGTCACAGAATCAAACACACACACAATGGATGTGTGAGACTTTAAAAAGTAATGCTGTGAATTAAGTTGTGATTACTTTTACTCCTTTAATGCAGTGTTCAATATTTCTGCACCAGAGTACCTGACAGCCTCCTTTATTTACATGACAAGTTTATTGTTTCATTCTGATCAGTACATATTACTTTTTTTTGTTGTTTCACATATTAAGTTTAATAGCCTATTAAAAATACCTGGAAGGAAGCGTGACACATTACTGTAGTAACAATCAATAGATATATGACAATTCCATAAAGCATGAAAACTCTAAATCTCTGGTTTTGATAAAAATGTGAAAAAAAGGTACATGGAATTTCCTGTGTGTTGCTCAAAACATTAAAAATTAAGAGTTCTGACTGTAAACACTTAGGCACCGTGTCTCCAATAGCTGGTGAATACTGTTCAGTGAGGTCTGTGGATTATCTGGAGGAGAGAGGGTACAGTGTTCAGACCAAAGAGAGAGAGAAAAAAAATGTCATGGTGGCCTTTTAGCTCTGGTCCAGTTCATGTTCACACTGACAATTTTACAAACCAACAAAGAGGAGTAAATATGAAGTGGCAGGAAACTCACTGATTGGACAGTTTTGGAGGCACAGCCAGTGCTACATGGACCCACATGGAGAAACCGTATTGTAGTGACTGACAGCAAGTTATGTGGCACTTGAATAAACCAGAACCTTTACAAAGAAATCTATTATTAAACTTAGCATTATAAGGCCAATCTGTGTCTCAGATAATGATGGACGGATGAATATAAGGGTGTGCGGTCTCCATTTGGTCCCAAAGTCCTATTTAAAGCACAATACAAGCTCAACACACTGCTGTTTTAACGCAGTGTCACTTTGTGATGTATCAGGGACAATCCCTGCACTCTTGTGGTGTTCCCATGGTTACTCACAGAAGAGGATTTAGGGATTAGTGAAAAATTTATTTGGCTTCTGACTTTAAACTCAAATAAATTGTGGCCCTAACCCTCTTCTGAAGATCCAAAACGATCATGGATATCCTGCAGTATCAGTTAGACAGATAGTTTCATTGACAGTTTACAGTCAGCAGTTAGATTTAGTTGTCGTCTAGCTAATGAATTCAGGCAAAAGTCACATTTCTTATATCATAAAATCTTGTGGTCAGTCCACTTTGCTTTCACACAATAAACAAATCTCACCTGAAGCACCTTTGAAGTGAGCCAATGTAACTTTTCCTGAACAGCGACAACTTTGGCCACAAGGTACAATACAGTGTAATGTTAGATGCTAACAGATAGCACAAGCAGAAAAGAGTCATCAAGTCAGTGCCTTTACTCAGTAAATTCATCTCTACAGTATTGGCATAGAGGCAATAATCTCCAAACTTCTTCACAAACCAAACCCTTTTCAGATAGCTGCAAGACCAAGGTGCCTGTAAAGCCCAATTATGATTTTTCCATGTTATTGTACAAGTTAGTGAAATAACCTTCTCACTTCTCTTGTTTCTCACACAGGACGATGGAAAAGAACAAGAAGAAAGGAAAAATCTTCTGAAGAGAGACACGCGACATGTTCCTTCAGTTTTACACAAACTAATTGTTTCTTCATCCCTTGAGAACACAAATAAACAGATATAGCATTCCACAACATCCATCTGTGTTACATGTAAACATGCACCACATGTGACATGGACACACACACAAACATCAACACATGCAAATGCCCACGCAGCCCACGTGCTAGTCTCTCTGCAGGGTTTCACTCCGTCTGTTGAAACCTTTTCTTTTCATGGGGAATGCATGTTTTTGTGAAATTATATTTTCCTATATTTCCTGACAATGAGGGGAAGGCCGAGTCCCTCTGAGCTACAGTACGGAGTTAACACATGGCAGGGACCATGCATAGCCATTTAGTACACATGTAGTAGTTGTATGTTCTCTAGATATTCCATAGATCTGCAGATAGACGTACTATCCCTCTCCTCGACACTCTTTCTTTTATTGTTCTCAAAAGTGTAACACAGATGGATACGCATTATGATACTCAGTCATAAAGACCTCATTGAGGGTGTTAGGAGACGGGAACGTGTATGTGAGTGAAGGTAACTGAATCGGGATTCAGCTGAGGAGAGAGGAGTCAGGAGGGATCGAGGCCCGGTCACAGCAGAAAGTGGCACAGCAAAATTAATCAGTTAGTCTTAGCGAAACATGTGGAGCTAACCGCTAGTGCTATTTAATCACAGCAGCTTTTTGAACTTCTTTCCATTTTCTCAGTCCTGAGTTTACTCCACGTTTCATTTCTGGGATTGTACATCATTTCATTCAGTACAGTTACAGAAGGTGGAAAACAACTCTGAGAAGGAGCTCGCTAAGTGTTAGTTTGCAAATCCGTTAGCTCATTCTTTTGAATAAGACAATCAGGTCACTAACAACACATACTTTCTGTAAGCAAACATGTCCATTTCAAAAAAACAGATTTGTAAAGTCGACTCCTTCCCCGTAACTGTTTACAAACCATTCCTCTTTTATTTTATACTCTGACCGAGAAGGTTAAATAGGAGTGCATGGTGCAACACAGCTAATGAGAACGAAATGCCCTCCCAACCCAATACACCACTTTGAATGTTGATGTGGCCGGGCCTTTAACCAGGATTTACAGGGCAGTGGCAGGTGTGGTGTGTTTGTGTGTGTGCGTGAGTGTGAGCAGGTGGTGTTTTATGAAATGCTGCGTTTGACGTCATAGATACTGTCTGATCTGAGGCAGACAGACAGACGAGGGGGGAGAAGATACTTGTGTGGAACAGTGTGTTTTCCTGTTTAAATAGGAAGATATTATGCAAAAGCCTCATTGGTGTCTACAACTTTACAGGTGACAGTGATTCCAGATGTTTTATATTGTGATGTAAGTGATGGATGTTGTCATTGGTCTGAACCCCAATGTCCAGCTTTTTGGGAGATTTTCCCACCAAAGGGGCAGAGATTTTCCTTTGACCTTCCTTTCTCCCCGGACCCTCCACTTCACCTAATTATACATAAATAAATGCTTCCACACACAACAAGACATTACTCCTCTGCTATTCTCTCAAACAGAATATTTTGAGTGCAGGACTTTCAATTCAATTTAGAGTTAGAAAGAAGTGAGCTGTGACACATTCAAAACTTTAATATACCTTTCCAAGAGTTATCATGTTTTATTTTCGTATGATGATGATGATATTAATAATAGTATATGTAAGGTTGAAGAACAATTCCTTAAATCCCTTGTAGTTTTCTTAAATGACTCGTAGGTTAATCTGTTATTTCAAGTATAGTTTTTCAGACTGCCTGCAAACATAAATGCTAAAGGTACACATCGTACCTTCAGCACAGAAAATCTTACGTATGGATTTGTTCATGATGGAAATTGATATATTGTGTACATACTGGAGGCTGCTCAGTGGCCTTTTTTTTTTTTTCTTGGGTTAATTTGTTTTTGTTTGTTTTGTTGTTGTTTTTTCAGACTATTAATTGCCAGGATTAACAACAGAACGGGACCTGTTATGTAAAACCTGTCTTAAGAACCATGAATACATTTCCATACATTTATACACACACATACTGTATACATCTATGCCAATGAGTACACCTTCTCAGGACCGCTCTGTTATGATATTTTTTCTCCTTATGCGCAGAGAAAAGCAGTTCTGTGGTCCGACAAGTTAAAAGAAGGGACTGATTTTTCTTTGAAATGCTTGTGAACCACTCACCTTCCAGTAACAACAAGTTGACATTGACTTAAGTTTAGGTGGATTTTTTTGTAATATTTTCTTCTTTTTTTTATATGTACACTGTTTTCTGCTTCTCTCCTTTGTTTTATTGTGTTCTCTCTCTAACTGTACATGGTTAATATTAAAGTTGACAAAGTTATGGTTTAACTCCCAAAGTGTGCAAGTATTCTTTTCTAACCCATTCATGAAATCAGTAATCCATTATAGTTTATTTTCTGTTGTTTTGGCACTATTATGTAATTACAATTATATTAATAGTATGGCGCAGTGTTTCAAAACTCTTGAGTACAAGAGTATAAACTCCTACTTATAAATCATTAAATCTTACATTCGAAACAACTGATTTAGTTTTCATTTGGTAAACATATATTTTTTTTTTTTGATGAAATGAAATTTTAGGTGAAAAGTACAGCTAAACATAAGTCATTGGAACAATCACTTAAAGAGTTCATATTATGCTTTTTGTGTATCACTTTGACATACGCCTCATAATGCTCGCCTAGCAGCAAAATATGGTATTTTTTGAAAATTAAACCATATAAACCTGTTCTGGTAAAATTATGAATCTGAAAATGAGCATAATGACCGCTTTTAAGACAAAACAATGTAAAACACGTGTTTCTAAATGACTGACGTTTTAAAGGTAAGTTGTGGGTTTGAATCCCACTGATGCCACATATAGTAAAAATCTTACACTTCAGGGTGGTGATGCCGAATCAGGCAAAATAAACAATTCACACATGTATGTAACGGCCTCTTCCAGGGTTTGTATGTGTCTCTGTGTCTGTGTTTTGTTGCAGGGTGAACTTCCTGGTGGAGTGGAGCTGAGGCCATCAGGCAGATCAGAGGTAGCTGGCCACTGTCTCCAGATTGCATAAAACCCACCCCCTTCCTGATTGTTGCGGGGCTTGACCGCTTGCTTTTTCCTGGTCCCCAGCTCCACGGCTGGTTGCTTTGTTGTACCTTTGTTTGTTTAAGTTAACCTGGCACTATGTTTTGACAGGGCGAAATATTACTACATACTTGTGTGACTAGTACCGTAGGGACAGAAAAAAACTTAGTTAAACGTTTTGAATTTTTCTGGATGGGGATTTATCAAAACAATATTTATAATCATAAAAAAGGGTATTAAAGTATATATGTCTTCACTGTATTATGTTCTTCTGTTATTGCTCTCTGCAGGCTCATCTGCGTATTCATAGCAATGCTAAGAGACATCCCAATATAATTACAACAACTTAAGTCACTGGCAGATGCTTAATAGAGTGGATGTTGTTGCCATTTCAGGTCTCAGGAAGTACAATTTCCAATAAAGATCCTCAGATCAATCTGAAGTTACAAGTCTCAAGGTTGGACTTGTGCTCCTTTACCCATCACCTGCCCCTCATTCCCCTCCATGTGCTAATTGATTTAAAGAAATGCTGTGTAACAGTATGTAGCCATTCTAAATTATCTGTTTGCCCGCTAGTTTAATTTACCTTATAAGCTCAAGCTAACCATGCTAGACTACATAGGCTACCAGAATAAGGTACAGAACAGGCATATACATACGAGAGCCATACTTTGTCCAGAGGTGCCATCTTTGCCACATTGAGATTTAAAGCTGCATTACTTGAGTTGTGGCCTAAAAAGTTCACAACAAGCTGACAGATGACATGTTTTCGCCTTATAAAGGTGTTATAGCTAACACGTTAGCAAGCTATTGTTTAACGCACTTCCAGCAGACACAGGGCAGCCTTAGCATGAATCTCTCTGCTTAAAGTTAAGCAGCTTGTCCCAAGACTCCCCTGGAGGAATCAATGCTGCACATTCATTTAGGAAGGAAATGTAATAAGGCCGTCATATGCAACAGCTTTTGGGAACTTTACATTGCTGAAACAGCAATGACCCTGAACAGAGGACTGAATGTACACTGGAACATCAGCTGTGTGTGAAGGCCAGACCAAAACCAGCCACAGCATGGACAGGGACGAGATCAAAGGTCATCGACCAGGAGACAGCAGACAGCTGAAGAAAGACCAAGGAGGACAGTCACATCTGACAACAGAGACCACAAACCCCTTATCCCAACACAACGTGGTCTGTTGTAATGATTTATTAGTGATTCAACAAAAATAGTATGGGTTATCATTTAAAACAGTGTTTATCTGTTGTGTACACCAATCGCCAGTCCCTGTGTTGGTTGTGGTTGCTGTCTTACAAATTGTCAAAATTCACCTGTGCTAAAAATTCATTTAAATATTAACCTTCAGTATGTGTGTGACAAAAATCTTTAAATCATTGTATCATGCAAACCTCTAAATGCTGTATACAAGACTACACTATATAAACCTTGCTGCACCATGTAAATGTATTGTAAAATAACCTCCAGGACCCTGAGGCATGCAGGAAAGGTTGTGGCTGACCCCTCCCACCCTGGACACAAAGACACCCCACTCTAACAGGAGGCTGGAGAGTCACAAGAACAGTTTCTTCCCATCTGCAGCTGGCCTCATCAGCAAGGCCCCGGACCCCCACTGACGCTGACTTTCACCCACAACATCTGCACCAGACGTTACATTATGGTACAGTCTCCACATCTGTGTCGATGCGTCACATGAACATGCAATTTTCATTTACATATTTTTGACTTTTGTAATATTTTTTTTATTTTTTTTACCTTTTTATTTTCTCTTACAAGGCTATGTTTATGGTTAAATACAAACAATCCTGTATGTGAAAACCTACTTGGCAATAAACATTGTGATTGTGATTGGTTATTTACAAGATCATACAATAAAAACTCTGCAGTCAAATTTCACCATCATTTCAGTAACCGCGATTAGGGCAGTGGTGGTTGTTGTTGTTGTTGCTCAGCTGCTTGCCATAAGTGGGAGAATATTTGCATACAGCAAATGCACCACAGTGTAGCGACCCTTATTGATGCTTTCCAGATAAAGGTTCAGCTAGTTTTGTGTTTTCAAACTTGTTTCATGCTGTGGTCACACAGCGACGATAGAAGATAATAGATTGAACCTCACTGATTATATCACAACATTTTGTGCAGAAGAACACTCCCAGACTGCTGCAAATCTAACTGTAGACGACTGACTCCATTTACCTCCCATATATATGTCCATGTGTATTGTAGACATACACATGACTGCAGACTTATTTCAATCTGGACACAACCTGGCCCAACTCCCTTCCTCTGGTAGGCGCTACAGACCACTGTACACCAAAACACTTTCTTTCCACAGGCCATCACCCTGGTGAACAGTTAAATTAGTTATATGGTGTCAAAACCCTGTACAACAGTTTAAAATGCAATGTTTTTAACGTTTACATATTATCTATATATTATTATTATATTATATATACTGTATGTGTGTGTAATATAAAGCTTATTATTATTGTCCTTGTTTTTAGCTGCTATGTCTATTTCTGTGTGAGACCATTGAGAGCAAATCAAGCAAGAGTCAAATTTCCTTGTATGTGTACCAATAAAACTGATTCTGATTTACAAATTTCTCTTTGAAACTATAAAATGTAACACACTGCAAATTTGTAAGTCTGATCAAAACAAATTCCAGATCAACAATGCTCATTAAAGCACTTCACACTGTACTTGTAAGTTGTGAAAAAACTTCAAATCTATCCCTGTTGGTTGTATTTGTGTGTGTGTGTGTGTGTGTATGCCAAAACATCAGAAATAAAAATACTCTGACCAAAGAAAAAAAGCTTCAGCAAATGTACAGCACAAGTACAACTTATTTTTACAGGCCCAGGTACAAAATGCAACCACCTCAGTCCAACATTTAGCAAAGGGCTGGGGAAAGTGATTTAAAGTAAGACCAGCTCACTTTTGAAAGACAAAATTAAACATTTATAATGTTGAAAGTTGAATTTATCATCAATAAAAGTCACCACTGCTCATGAACCCAGGGACTTTGCTGCTATTGATATGGCCAGTTACGGTGGCAAATGTTAGCAAACACAGCAAAAACACTTGTTTTTAGATGATGGGGTTTCTGCTGGTCGCTCACAATCATAAGAGGAATAGTCTCGTAAATAACACTGACACAAAACAATAACGTGTCATTTTTGGTTGTTTCTAGCCCCTTCAGTAAAAAATCTATAGAAATAAAATTGACTTGACTTGTGCTAAGCTAAACTAGACATCTTCTGGTCGTGGCTTCATTATTTGCATCCAGCCATGAGAGCGGTATCAATAACTCAGTTAATGTGGGTTTCTTGACATTAATGTTTTTAGTTAGCCTACCAAAGTAAACCACACCTTAAGCATAGACGTTGCAGATCTTAAAATACATAAATTAGTTACAATCATTTGGGTGAAATGAATTCCTGTGGTTATCCAGACTGTGTTGTAGTTGTAGTCAGCTAATGACTATTCCATATCTGATCATTCATTCAAATTCCCATCCAACAACACACATAGCCAGCAATAAAGTAAATTACAGAAATGCACGTTTTATTAAAACACAAATATTTAGTATGCTTTAAGCCCTGCAAAACCAGGAATTCATTTAATAAATTATTGTACAATAATACATCTTCATTACTGCTGACTGCTTCTTTCAGTGTTGTGGAGCTGATTGTAGGTATCCAGAGCCCACTGGAAAGTTTGTGTGTAGCAGATCTGTCTTTCTTTGACAGTCTGAACTCTGCAAAACATACAGAAGAGAAAACTCACTTAATTTACTTTGTGTTTTAAAGGAAGTGGAATTCATTATTATGGATGCTGTGATTATGCCTTCTTTTTATTAATAATTTCATCGCCAGTTAAAAGACAAGAATAGCAAAAGAATGAAACCCAAACTTACATGAATGCCTTCTGCTGACAGGAGCTGTGGGTCTTGGTTATGCCCGATACGAGATTTAATGGTAACCCCCGAGTGTAAAACTTGAAGCAGCAGTTTCCGGGTGCTAACTGCAGACCTTTGGCTGTGAGGAAGATAAAAGGATAATTTCATTATAAACATGTCAGTGAGAAATCATAAAACAATTAATGATGAGGCACAAACAGAGATCACTCACGCATGGCGTTGCAGCAGCAGGCGGTGAGCAGCAGCAGCCCCAGAGTGAAGTAGAGAGTCTTCATGATGATGTCGGCCAAAAGATGATGACGATGTTCTTCTTCTGTCTTTGCTGTGATCGACTCTTAGCACTACGTCTGATATAAATACTGTTTATTGTGGAGCTGAAATGTGTATGATCTCAGCCTTTCCATCCAAAAATTGAATCCTACCACGAAACATCAGGGCAGAATTTCCACACACCTCCTCAGCTTTCCACTGTGGAGACACACTCAAACAACTGCAACAACTGCAGTCTAGTTAGGGGAAGGAAGTACCAATAAGGGACAGGCCACAGTAATGATTGTAAAGATTAAAACATCTGAACCACGGAAAAGGGAAGTGTCTGTTCAGCATTTATCTTTACATCTATGTGCATATTTAGTTTGTCAGAAACATAACATAAGTTCTTCATTTACGTGTACTGAAAGTTTTTAACAGAAGTACAAAGAACACGCAAAGACCAGAAACACATTTTTATTTAGACTATACTCAAGTTTAAAGGTCATTTTGTTCTGAGTTTTATCATAAAATGAGGTTTTAAAATTGTTCCTTTTACATTTCCAGCACAGGTGGTAGCAGGGCTTCAAACCACAGAATGACAAGACGAGACTGATTTATATGACTTCAAAGTTTGAACATTTCACATTGTAAAATGGTATATTCCACCCACACCTGAATCAACTGGGCAAAGTAACCAACTGCCCAGGGGCCCAAGAGTGCTATGGCCCCAAGGGGTCCAATCTTCCTTTCTGGTTTGCACAAGTTCACACAGTGCTTCCCCAGGTCATGTTAGGATCATTTGCTGAGCTAAAGTGACAGCCTGTGAGACGCCGGGCTTCAATAAAGGTTCTCTAAATGGAGTTGACTAGCTGACAAGAATTTCTTTCATACAAATATAATATATATATAATATATAAAAATTGGGAATATGCACCCCTAAAGCCAACTATCAACTGACATGACACGGGCCTTAAGATATGTCCAGCTCAATATTTGATTTGTACCTGTGTCAAAATCCAGTTCATTATTTAAGTTTAGTGCTTTTAAGTGCTTATATGTGGCATACTCATAAATTAATGTTTTTCATCAAGTTATCCCGCAAAAAAACTACAGCCCATGTTTCTAGAAAAGAAAGAATACTTGGAATGTTGGGTAAATTGTGGCCCAACAGCATATTTTTTCCCCATATTGGTTTAATCTGGTCATGGTTCTACCAACAAAAGAAAACAGGGTCAGAAAAACTAAACTGCCAAAGTAAGTTTAGAGGTTAGTGGCTTTTTAAATGCAACAAGTACTGTAGGATTTTTTTGTCCTGGAGGACTGCTCAAGCTGAAATCTAAGAGCCTGCCAATTTTAAGCCAAAATGATCTCTTTTCATCTGAAATTTGACAAACTAGCTCTTGTTACAAAGTGACATTCTAACTACTCTAATTGTTTGCTATAAAAGGGTCTGTCTCACAGACTGTATATAAGAAGGTCTGTCTATGTTGCTTTGTTTCAAATTGCAGGATTATGTGTCATCGGGCTCTCTGTACAGAAACCGTCAATATACATGTAGGCTACTATTTTGGTTATTTTAAGTTCTGGGTTTGTTAGTAATGTATCAGAGGCCATGGGATTATACATACAAACACAAAATACCAACATAAAAATACTGGTTTCTGCCTCCTCCAGGGTAAACTACATTACTAGTCAGTTCTTCCCTTTATGCAAATCTGTCTGGTGTAGACCTAAGTGATGGAGATGGCCTCATGTTCACAAGATCTTATCACAGCTGTTTTCAGAAATGTTGTCATCTGTGACCTATTTAGATCACTTATGTGCATGCTTTTGCAGCCTCATCAATTTCCCCATCATCTGAGTGATTTGCATACTGTCAATGGGCTGACAATGTAATGCATGGGGCTTTTTTATATACTATATATATATATAACAAAATTATAAACGCAACACTTTTGTTTTTGCCCCCATTCTTCACGAGCTGAACTCAAAGATCTAAGACTTTCTCTATGTACACAAAAGGCCTATTTCTCTCAAAAAAAAATTTCACAAATCAGACAGCACAGCAGGGTATTGCACAGGAGTGCTTTAGGCTGGCCACAATAAAAGGCCACTCGAAAATGTGCAGTTCCATCACAGAGCACAATGCCACAGATGTTGCAGGTTTTGAGGGAGCATGCTATTGCTGACTGCAGGAATGTCCACCAGAGCTGTTGCCCATGAATTGAATGTTCATTTCTCTACCATAAGCTGTCTCCAAAGGCGTTTCAGAGAATTTGGCAGTACATCCAACCGGCCTCATAACCGCAGACCATGTGTAACCACACCAGCCCAGGACCTCCACATCCAGCATCTTCACCTCCAAGATCATCTGAGACCAGGCACCCGGACAGCTGCCACAACAATCAGTTTGCATAACCAAACAATTTCTGCTCAAATTGTCAGGAACCATCTCAGGGAAGCTGATCCGCATGCTTGTTGTCCTCATCGGGGTCTCGACCTGACTGCAACTTTGCACAGCTGTTGAAGAGGAGTGGACCAACATTCCACAGGCCACAATCTGATCAACTATGCGATGGAGATGTTTTGCACTGCGTGAGGCAAATGTTGGTCACACCAGATAGTGACTGGTTTCCGGACCCCCCCCCCCAATACAGTGAAACTGCACGCTTTAGAGTGGTCTTTTATTGTGGCCAGCCTAAGGCACTCCTGTGCAATCCCCATGCTGTCTGATCAGCATCTTGATATGCCACACCTGTGAGGTGGATGGATTATCTCAGCAAAGGAGAAGTGCTCACTAACACAGACTATGACAGATTTGTGAACAACATTTGAGAGAAATAGGCCTTTTCTGTACATAGAGAAAGTCTTAGAATTCTTTGAATTCAGCTCACGATGAATGGGGGCAAAAACAAAAGTGTTGCGTTTATAATTTTCTTCAGTATATAACATCCAGTATGTACATTTACTAATTTGGCAAACATGATTACTTCCTCTTCAAGGATAAATTTGAGATATATTTTGGCAGCTTCTCATATTTCAGAACATAGTAAACTAAAACTAAAACTCGACTTTGACAAAATATTAAAGAAAATGTCACTGAAATATATCTTATTTTATTGTCTGTTTATAGATTTTACCACTCTCTAGTGACAGTTTTCAGTTGTGAGATAGAAGAGAGGCAATACAAGTCAATCAAGTCAGTGGTCTCTGCACAAACCACAAATAAATACTATTACTAAGTGCAGGTTGCTGGGAAATGGGAGTTTGGGGCGACTCCATCAGTTATCACTGTGACCCAAAACAACAAAAACTTTGTACAGAGGAGCACTAGAAAGCATCCTGACTGAAAATACCACCAATTGGCATGGGATGTGCACGGCCCAGGACTGGAGGGCTCTGCAGCGGGTGATTAAAACTGCTCAGAAGATCATTGGTACCCATCTGCATCAGTGATATCTGTGGGAATGTGCCTGCGCAGAGTCCAAAGGATACAAAAGGACAGTACCCACCCAGCCACAGCCTTTTCACACTTTTTTTTGTCTGGCAAGAGATGCAGAAGTATCTGCTGTTGTACCATTAGACTACAGAGCTTCTTGATAGTAAAAGTTCTTTCTCAGCACTGTACCATGCAAAATTGTTAATTTCTGTATATCATTTTATAATTTTTGTATTAAATGTTTTCTTTGAGAGTATCATAAAGGGAACTACAAACTTCATCTCATTATACAACCCTTGTATAATGTTATTCTTCCCAATGTTACAGATTTTGCGTGTTTACTCTGTGCAATACGGTAAAACGGCCTCACTTATTCAGCAGGTACAGACGTGGGATCAGATTCCAGATTCCTGCATTTCGCTGAGAGAAACATGCCTGCTATGTTTGGCCTGGTTCCAGATCAGCGCTCTTCGACAGTATTTACGGGACTCCAGTTGTATAGCTCCCACAACGTCAGAAGACCCGCTGAAATTCAAAGTTGAAGGAGGAGACTGAAAGCATAAAACAACAAGAGGGTTGTTTCTTGTTTGCTGTCAGTTGGTGTTGACCTGTTTCATACATACTGTAACGTTAGTTTCAAACAGACTTCTTTTCAGGTAAGACATCAAACGACTTGCTCTGCATATAGCTGCTCTTCTACTTTGTTAAAACGTTAACAAGACAGTTTGTTCCTGCTAAAGTTAGCTTGTCATTCTAAGCTAACTTAGGCTAACTTAACGTTAAACTGGGCAACTTGAAATGAGCTAGCCAGAATTGACTCAAAGGACAGTGTTGCTAACAAGCAAGCTAACGTAGCTCCCTAAAAAGTTACAGGTTTGGCAGTGCTCGGAGAACCAGTTAAACTCAACTAACACAGGGTTATTGCTGTGTTGGCAGTGTTAGCAAGATAACGTTATGTCTTTATCTGACTGGCTGGCACTGACTGTGAATGTGTGTTTCATTTTAAACATGATCTGAGCTGAAACTGAAACGCTGAGCGTTGTTACGTAACATTTTATTTGGGATGACTTTAACTTAATGCTAAAGCCGTTTTATCAAATATTGTGTTTCCTATCTGTAGAAAAACGTCTGAATGCAAGCTTTTCTCATTAACGTTACTTACTTTTCTGTAACTCTGACGTGGCAATTTATGTAGGGGTAACATTAACCCCTATAGAAACTGCAATGGCGTGACTCTTGTTTGAATTAATAACTTTGTGCTTTAAGGTTTCGGTCCAATAACTCCTGAAATCTTAAATTACATATCCACTCTTTAATGTCACTGCCTTTGCATCTCAGTATGGAAGCTGGCGAGGAAAATACTGGCAAAGTCAACTTGAAAAGACAGAGAGCACCTCTGTCAGATTCTGAAGACAATGTCCTCTCACAATCAGGTTTGTTTGTACCTGGATTAACTGGAACGTGAAGGTTCACATGTATATCTTTATTAATACAGTATGTCTACATAGTACATATTTACAGTACAGTATGTCTATGTAGTACATACTTTTGTCCTGTTTCTATTTGATGTCTCAGAGGTGAATGATGGGCAGAAGCGTCGGCGTCTGGAGGCAGCCGGTGAGGAGAACCGTAGTCCTAAACCATCCTCCTCTGGACGACTAGCTGAGCTAGACACAAAGCCAGACACACCGATGGTTCCCTCAGTCCGGTCACGAGTCCAGCAACTCAGCCAGAGACGAGAGGGTAATCCTACCTTCGCAGGCATGCTAATGGCCTCCTCCTGCCCATTTATATTTCTGACTGTAGACTAAATATTAGAAATACCTCTCACTATAACACAATGCTATTCAACAAACTTCTGTTCACAAAATACATCCTCAAAAATGACCTTAAAGTTGCATCAACACCTCTAAAATGGATTCAACAAAAACCTTTTATGAAGGGAGGATTTACTGCAGAGCAGTTGTATTTGACTGCATGACTTTTAGCTAACGTAATAAACTGGCAACTGTGAGTGTATATATGTACATATATGGTCACACATGCATGGAGTATTGCTGTGTATTTTGGCAGGGTTTATAGTACTGCTCAAAATGGCAGCCAAGTTCAACAGTCAAGCTGGATTACCTGCATGAAAGATAAGAACTATTCTCAAGGTGTTGAGCAATCTGTGTCAAGCTGTTGTGACAGTGGGTGTTAAACAACTAGTGTAGTTTGTAACATCAACTGTTTCTTGTTTCAGGAGGAGCTCCCCTGGCCCAGCGTTGCCTGTCAGATCCTGGGGCTGACAGCCCATCAGCCATCATCCAGGAAAAGGGCTTCAGAGCTCATCTCCTCGGTGAGGATGCATCAGACATGTCACTGTTGGATATAGTGTTACTTTTCTATTTTCAAATCCCATGACAGTCTTTTACAGATATGGAAACCATAAAAGATCGAAGTCAATGCAAAAAGCTATTAAAGGCATAGTGGTCTTTAGCCCTCAGCTCAGACCTGACAGTGTCCTGAGGGTGTGAGGTTGGACTTCAGCTCACAGTCAGTGAAAGAATTTGCCACACCTAGCTGTAAAATCCTTAATAAAAATCATAGACAACTTGTTTCTTGGGATCCCTATTAGATTTTTCATTGACAACAACTATTTTTCCTGGGGGACATATTCAAATAAAATACATGTAGTCTGCAATTTTTGCAATGACACTACTTCTTTAGCTGTTTGTTAAAACCTTTTTGTTGTATATTCTTAAGATATATATTTTTTCATAGCATTAGTCTTTGGTTGGGGTAGAGTTATGTAACCGTTCCTCACCTCTCTTGATTGATAACTATATTTCAGTGAAAAAAGCTGAAGATCGACTCTCTCTTTGCAGTGTGTCGTTGAGCCAAAAACAATAGCTACATTTAAGCTTGAACACATTTTTAAACGACATAGTCTTTGGCTTTTTTTAAATGTAGTTTATTCCTCATAGTATTATTTAAATCATCACCATTAGTTGACAGTGTATACACAGTGGTATTATCAACACAGATAGTTAAGTGGCATGCTATTAATAAATGCAGAGAAAAGCAACGGCCCTCTGCAACTAGTACAGAGAAGCTAAAATATAGCTAACATGATTGGGATATGAGTTCCCGTATAAGCACTGTGGCTGGCAAGGTATTTAGAGTAAGTAAGAAAAGATGGTTGAAGAAACTCGCAATTGTGTTACAAAAAAAGAGAGCCCGAGAGAAGCAGATTTGTAGTGTGTTGCTTAAGTTTTACATGAACATGTATGTAGATTGAAGGTAATACTTATGTGACCTTTTTTTGATCCTTTTAGCCATTCATAATTGGTAGCAGACAAATTGGTAAACAATACTGAACATTCATTAGTTTAAAAGATGTGAATAGTGTGTTATTGCCATTGTGCTACAAAAAAACCCTCAGAAGATAAAACTACGGTGAGTGCATTAACTCATTTCCAGAGACAATAACATAGGAGGAGACTGTTTAGCATATTTTGCTGCCCTGGTAGGGATAGCTTACTGCAATATATTTTTGAGAAGATCCCCCAATGAAATATATAGAGTTAAATTTGGATTGATTTCTATTAATGTTTGAAATCTCTATAAATGTTTTCACTCAAGGTGAGGGAGAATTTAATCAGCGAATGGAGCGATTTAAAGTGCCAGTCTTCCAGGCTAGCCTGGGCTCCACGCTGAGCCCTGCCAACCCCTGCCCTGAGATCCGCTCCAACTTTGTATCTGGCATCCAGAATAAACTCCACAGCAGTACAACTCCCAGCTCCAAACAGGCTTCTCGCATTCGCCAGGTTGGTTCAGGGGCTTTTATTACTGAAATGCAAATTACTTAATTCTACACCATTCTAGCTCAAATTCTTGTAACTCGATGGGCAAAGTAACTCAAAATCCTGTGGGATAAATCATTTACACATACATTATTTGTTAGACTACTGTTAAAATCTTTCAAAGTTTAACCTGCTAGCAGCTGCAGTACCCTTCATTTTATGAAAAGAATCCAATTGTGCTGTTTGTACTTAAATTATTTTTGTCGGAGTACCTGTAGAGTTTATGTCTGACATGGTTTCACTGATCAGGAACGTGAGCAAGAGCTGAACCAGCTGCATTTCCAACCAATCAGTGAGAATGCCTGGCTGAAAAGGAGCAGCTCTGATCCCTCGTTAAATCAGGTGGGTTTGTGATCGTAATATTTTGTGTTTCAAATATTCAACAATTGAACAATTAATCAAAATATTATTGAAATCACATTTTTTTGTTTGGTCAAACTAAAATGTGTCATAACCTTTCCTGTGGCGCTTGTGGAAATATGTTTGTTTGGTACAGAAAGCAAAAATAAATTAAATAATAAAAAAACTAATTAAAACTAAATCTCTTATATTGAAGTACATGTAGTTGAGTTGGCTCATAAACCATATATAGACCAAAGCAAACTCGTGTAGTTCCTAGCTGTTTTCAGTAGTTTTCTGATACTGTCAGAAGTAGCTGAGAGAAGAGAAGGGTTAGGCCTTAGTGTTTGGATACTTTGCAGATTCTGTGGGTGGAATGAAGAAAGAAATGATAGGTATCACATATGCAAATTGGGTGCCCCCCCTTTGGTCAGCAAGTATGTCCATCAGTAACAGACTCTCCAGATCAATGACATCTTATGTCTTATTTTTGTGGACGTTTCTTTGTTTAGTGAGCCATTTGCCCAGTTTGTTGAGTGTTTTTTACACACTAGCTTATGTAAACATTAGCAGGGAAGGACCCCTCCTGGCCCCTCATCTCCCTCCTCCTGGGTTCCTAGATCTAGAAGGAGAGTTCAGTGGCCTCCCATGCAGCCCTGGGATGTGAGTCTGTGACCAAATAACTTCACTTTTGTGCTTTGAAACATGGCCAATGCTTAGAGCCACAAAATGGGCAGCATTGATTTGCGCAGTGATAAGAATTAAATACCAGAATAAGGTCATAATCAGCATCAAGTATACTACTTTTGTTTTCATAATTACCCATTTACATGGCTCTAGTTGGCTCTTTTTTGTCTTTTCGAAGAAGTGCACTAAAATAGTCTGGTGTGGTTTGGGGGGATTGGTTTTTCACTTGACACATAATGAACAGTAGCTAACCTTCTCATTTGAGATGTCATAGTGGGGTCATGAAAAGGTAACAGGCTACTTAGAGATGAATGTCACAATTTCACAATTTGTTTCATATATTTTATTGGAAATTATATCATTATACCTGTAATATGCAGTAACCTTCGAAGGGGTTTGTGAACATGTATGTTGACTTTTCAGCATAACTCCACCATGTCATTAATTGCTCTACCACTGGTTACAATGGGCCTCTTCTCCCTTATCCTTTTTTTTTTCTTCTCGTCGCATTCTTGGCACTGTTTCTCTGGTTGTTGGGCACATGACCTAAATCACAATAACTACAAGATACAGAATTTTCTTTGTTTGTATGTTTAGTTGCATTGATAAAGAAAGCCCTGCTCTGCTTTACTGTGTCAAATTTGTGTATCCTGTTACATTGTTGCTTCCGACAGGCGGATGGTGATGCTGAGATGAAAGATGGCAGTTTCACTGAAGCTTCTACATCAAGAGTAAAGAAGCAATCTTCAGATGGGACAGGTAAGACTTTTGACATCAAATTGACTTGTGTTTTTCCAACATAATATCTTACACTAAATATTTAAAACATTTGGCACCTTCACTTCTATATAATAAAATAGCTGTGAATACTCAGTACCAGCTCTATATATAAGTATATTGAGTGTGAAGGTTAGGTAGCCTAGTGTTGAGATGTGAGACTACTTTTTCAACAGGTGAAAAGGCCCTCAGTGACTCTGAAGCTGCTGCAGCATCTGTAGAGCTTGATAACTCGAATGAAGGGCAGCTGGAAATGGAATTGAAGGAGCAAAATACTCATCAGGCTGAAGAAGCCGGGGAGGAGAAAAAGCACAAGGCTTCGGTTGGAAATGAGGAAATGCAGCTAGGGCCCCAACAACCACAGACCCAGTCTGTATTGAAGTTGTCTTTTAGCGAGGATCAGAGTTTCTCCAGATCATCTTTTGGTGAGGACCAGAATGTGTCAGAGTTGCCTATAGGTGAAGAGCAGAGCTTGCTAGAATCAACGGAGGACTCCTACATGAAGGAAACAGGTGAGGTTTCCAAAGTAACTGAACAGGGCGGGTCTGAGGAGTTTTCAGTTGAAGAATTTGATGACCTTGATGGTTCTTCATACAGTGAAGATGTGATTGAGCCTTCAACAGATGAGGAGTCAAGGTCATGGAGATATCCTCAACATAAGGTGTGCAAGGAGGAAGAGTCTATAGTTGAAGAACAGGAGGAATATGCGTGCGTTAAAGAGGAGAGGGTGGATTTGGAGTCAACCAGAGTAGGAAAAGATAAAGGAGGCAGCGTTGCAGATCACAGTGAACCCTCTGACTCCCAGGATGGTGAATGTTATTTGGATGATGTCTCTGCTGAGATTGCTGACTCCTCTGAAATGCAGAAAGATGAGAAACCCAGACTTGAGGAGCAAGATTTAGAGTCAGAGAGCTGGTTAGATGACCCTGTGAAGGACCAGTCTACTTTAAATGAGGGAGCAGTTACAGGAGATATTGACATCTTTACAATTAAGCAAGACCAGAAAGACAGAGAAGGATGTACTCATAAGGATGATGTATGTCAACAGTCAAAGGGGATCCAGACAGTCAATATAAAAGAAGAGAACATGAATCTAGAGTCAGACAGAAGAGGCCAAAAAAGCGGAGTGAAACAAACCGAGGCATCTCGTTTTGCATGTGTGGCTGAGGCTCTGATAGAAACACAGACTGGGTATACACAGTTTGAAAGAAATATTGAAGATGTAGCAAAACCTAAAGCAGAGACTCAGGCCGAATCACCAGACATTAATGGAAGTGATGGAGCTCAGTGTTTGATAGAGTCCCAGGTGTCAGAACCCCTTTTGGAGAGAGAGGAAATGGAGCAAGATGCAGAAAGGCAGGGTGCTATAAATGCAGTGACCGGAAAAACCTACAACACAGAGGGAGGAGAGAGCTCTAAGAAAGTCACCTTTATCCTGGAGCCTGAGCTAATCAATGACTCAACCCTGTCTGAGACCAATACTTCCATGGAGTCCAGGGCAGAGACAAGCATGTCGGGTGAGAACAATAAAGATGTAGGTGTTAGCACCTGGGCTTCCTGGACACCCTAGGAGATGTGGAGCACAGTGGTGAAGTCATTTGTTTGTTAGACAGAAATCACTGGTCATTGGCACACTGCGTACTGGGTTTATGCACAGGTGTTGTTTGGAGACATTTGTATGGCTGGTTTTGTCTTACTCGAAAAATGACACAATTCTCGACACAAGTAATAAGTAGAGAGAACAATATGGGGCCACGAGCACACAATTGTTACAGCACAGATGCATGTATGGCACCCATTGATTGTGGGTTTTCTTTACCCTTCCTCACCGGCAATCTAGGTAGTCCTTATTTGTTTTAGAAGGTGACTTGATAGATTTGTGAATGTTTCTGTCCAAAGATGCTGAACTAAGCTCTCATGATGAGACCAACACTGCTGAAATAATCGACCAGATGTTTGAGGAGGTTCTGGAATATGCTGGAAGGATGGAGGAGGGGAGGGCGGATGATGACGACATTGAGGACTACGACAGTGGGATTTGCGCTTGTTCTGCAGACAAAGATAAGATGGAAACGGAGTTAGAGAAAGAGAAAAGTGAAGAAGAGGCGGAAACCAAAGAAGAAGAGTGTGATGAGAGCAAGAAGCTTGAAAGCAACGGAGATGAGCTGCTGACTTTTCCTCCTGACGGCATCCTCTCTCCCCTCAGCAAGTCTGTAGAGGCCGTGGTCACCCCTCTAGTAAGATTAAGTCATAACTTTGAGCTGTTGATACTTTCCATTTCCATTAGAGGAGCTTTCTGGATTAATAGCTGTGTTAATGTTCCATATTCACCCAACAGCGGCTGGCAGCGAGCCAGATGTCCAATACTCCATCTCTGCTCGTGACTCCAGAAGAGACCACTACCCCTCCTGCTCCTCTATACAGGTACAGCTAAAACAGTAGCAACATAAAAAATAGTTCAAATTCAAAATCTCTTTGGAATAAACTCTGAGTCATCGGTCATGAATCATCTGTTTTGTCTTTTGTCTTCGGTCAACACTGTAACTGCAAGAGCACTGCTAAATGAAGTTTAAGATAAAAACTCACTTATGAATATGTTATGTAGAACTTTGAAGATGTAAATATTGGACCAGCGGGCCCATAATCCTGAAGCTATAATTTGACTTCATTATATGGGTCCAGATAGGATAAATAGGGTTTTGGTTGCCGTACTGTTGAAATGTATGTCTGTATTTAAAGGCTGCTTAATTTTTAATCATGCAATTATATGAACATGACATGTCAGATTGTATTGTCATTATTTTCTTCTCACTCATTACTGTTTCTTCAGCTTTTCTTTCAAGTATAGGAGCTGTACAGTCAGTAACAATCCTCAATTTGTGGTTATTTTGTTAACATACTTTATGCTTAAATTTGACTGTATGTTGACTGATCGGTTGTTCTGTGATTGACAGTATTGATGCCTACCGCACACAACGACAGAGTAAGCTGCCCACCACTCAGAGTGTCTCTCCTGGGGTTCGGAGACGAGCTCCAGAGATGTCCCAACCTCAGCCCTCTGTCAACACCAAGGAGAAAATCAAGGTGTGTTTTAGCTAATCTAATTTAAGAAGGCCAATCCATTGACTGTTGTTAATCAACTCACAGTTAGTAGGGCTGTCAGTATTCAGAATGATTCAGAATCCATTAGTCTAGTCACTTGTAAATGTAAACTGCGCTACAACTGCCGAAATTGACCTCCTTTTTGATTTTAATTAAATCCAGTATAGGTCCTGAGTAACCCTCAGTCTTTCATATTGTCCTGTTTGTTCAGGCTCTTAATGAAGAAGCAGGGAAGCTGCAGACTGTGGTCAACCAGACCCTGCAGGCTCTGAGCTGCTGTACCGATGAGGAGCACGGACGAGGCTCACTGGAAGAGGCTGAAGCTGAGAAGCTACTGCTGGTCTCCTGTATGTAGATTTTTGGTTTAATAGTCCCATTTTTGTGTACCTTTTAGATAGGAAGCTGTATTATTCTGTTAAAGATTTTACATACAGTTGATAAAATAATATAATAAACAGAGTAGCAAGAGACAGCTACAAAACATACATTTATTTGATGTCAATTGCATTTACACCTTTTGTTTCAAAGCCTAAATAATTATATTCAAAGCAATAACAAAAGCATATTTCTTCATTTTCTATTATCTATCTGTGTTTCTTATTATTCTTGTCATTCACTTGTTTCAGGCGAGAAACGTTCTGCCCTGTTGGCAGAGGTGGCCAGACTGAGGGAGGAGAAGAACTCCGAGTCAGGAGAGGCAGCAGGGGAGGACAAGGACTGTGTTTCCCAGCAGCCCTGCAGAGGGACTGTCAGCATCACAAACATTCAGTTGCCTCTCAAGGTTGAATTTGTCTGCTCCTCCTACAACCGCACAGGTAGCACAGCAAGAACATTTCTTTCAACAATTTTTTTTTTGATTATGTGTAATTTTTAATTGCCTCATAATTAACATTATTGATACAAAAAACTTCTGAATTTCAAAATTCAGGGCTAAATTAACTCAAATGTAGAGGTTGACATACACTTTATAAGAACTGATTTGTTTGTGTACACATGTAGGTCGGCCAAGTCACTACTTCTTTGTCCTGATCCGCTACGGGCCCTGCAACATTGTGGCCACGCCACTGGCCACGGCTGCTGATGCTCAAAATGGAGACACCATCTCCTTCCCTACTTCTGTCACTCTGTAAGCTGCCGTTCATCAGCTGGTTGTGGTGACTTTATTTTACAAGTCTTATGATGCTTTTAGCACTCATTTGCTGTGTTTACATATTGACAGTGTGTATTTTATTTATTTTTATTTTTTTCTCACAAGCAGAACAATGTTTTCAGCTTCAATCAGTGATGGACACCACTGGATAGCTCGGTTCACATTTATATTTTGTTAAATGATTAATGAATGGCTACATCCAGGCTACTTTAGCCAAATTGGGGAAGTTTCATTTTCAGGATCTAAAATATGACTTTCCCCGCGACCCTGTACGCAGGATAAGCGGTTGACGATAGATGGGTGGAAAAATGACTTTGCTCACTAGCCCTTGTATTTGTAGAAAATTCTGACTGTATGAATGTGGTGATGGGGATATATAGAGTAATGTATTGCTTTGTTTGTCTTCTTGATATGTCAGGAAGGATATTCGCTCATCCTTTGAGATTGATGTGGAAGTCTACAGCCTGGTGAGACAAAACATTTGCCATTTTGATTTGGAGTAATTCTTTGGTACTAATTAATTGAAATTAATAGAATAGCGAGGTGGTTGTGAAAGTATTTTTCTCAGTGTAAATCACATTTCATTTTTGTGTTACTTGTAGCCTATGCTCCGTAACAAAGACACATGGGAGTATTTTATATGATTGTGTGTAGGCTTATGTAATGGCCATGAATTACAAATATTTTAAGTTTCTGAAAAATCATGTTTATTCTGGATGTAGGTGGGGATGTTATAGACACAATCATGAGATTTTAGAGTACAATTGTCATACAAATAGCTGCAATTAACTTGATTTAAAGGTGGAATAAGCGATTCTGGAGACATCTAACACGATGACAGATACCATTCTATATAGTGAACGACACAGCAAGTAGTGTAACGAACGTTAGTTAAGTTGTGGGTTAGCAAACTGTCGCTACAGCTGCTGCTGTGAAGCTAACGTGCAGAGAGGACGAGACGGTCCCAGAGCAGCACAGCAGCTCCAGACAGCGATAACTCTCCTGCTGCTACAGCTAACATCACAACAACAGCATGTCTTGGTGAACTAGAAAGGAAGCTGAATGTCTGTGGGCAACTCATTTAACTTTTCTAGATACAGAGGTCTGGCTGGGATAGTGTTGCGGGCCACTTTTGTTTGTTTCCCATTTACAGACCCAGGCCTGTGTACAAACACCAGATTTGTTTCTAGCTAGCGGACTGTGAGGAGATATTCAGAGAATTTGACAAAAAGACTTATTAGAATAGAATCGCTTACCCCACCTTTTAATTATTTTTTTTCTATACTGTCCTCTTTACTGTACTCACACAGCGGTGCTGCTGTGTTTGGTTTTGCAACTAGGCCTACGTTATAGTTTGCGCTTGTGTGCATTGTAAACAATGTTCCACCTCCAGCTCTGCTGAACAGTTGTTCTAAAACTGTTATGCAGGCCTACCTAATGTAATGAAAAAGGTTCAAGAAGACAGATAATGATTTAGATTTAATTTTCAAAAACTAAAATACAAAGCCATGTTTTCATTCAAGCATTTAATGTCAACTTAATTAGAAAAGCTGGATGGAAGGGACATCAAACAATTTCAACAAAACTTTATCACATCAACACATCAGTAAAAATGTTTTTCACTTGTATGAAGGGTTTTTTCCTGACATTGGAAGCTCTTGCTCAGGTAGACAAATTATTTGCCTTAACCCAGCAGATGGACCCTCACCTGTAGGATCCAAAATGTGGTACAGTGTACATCCACGCAGCTCACCACCCGCTCCTGTAGAATAAAGCAAGAGGGTTTATTAATTAATCCACTTCACCTCATACAAAAATAAACTTGGTGAAAACTAAAAGAAAAGTCCACCATTCATCTCGGGATGCTCCAAAAGTCCACAACAAGCTCTGAAAGCTGTGCAGCTCCAGTCTGCACTTGCAGTTACCTGCTGACCAATAGTGTCATTAAGTGTTGGCTGGCGGGACGTATGTGTATTTCTTTATTTTGCATCACAGGAAACAAAATCTAATTGTAATAATTCAAAGTAAACATAATATATTAAGAATATAAGCAAAACAAACTAAATATCAACATGTAAATAATTAACTGCAAAACGTCCCTTGATTATGGAATCTACTGTGTAAATATTGGCTTTACCTCAAATAATCAAGATCAGGCGATCATGGAATAATTGCAACAGGCCTCATTGAAACCATGTTTTTTCTAGAGTGGCTGTTGGTAAGTCTAGTGGAACCAGTTCCACAGTCATGGTGAATGTAGGATTTAAAGGTACATTAAGTCAGGGCTAGAGAATAGTGTCTCAACTTTATTTAACTGTTGTTTTTTTTACAGCTTTTTTTTAGTTGTAGAAAGTTGTTAAATGCACAGCATTGTTACATCTCATGTAATTTCTAGATTTTTAATGTGCCTGTTTTTGTGCCATCTAGTCCCACACTTCAGGTAGTAACTGCAGCACGGATCGGACCACCACCAAGTCACGGGTAAGTGGGTGAGCCAAATAATGAGCCACGTGTGTGATTATCAATGACAGTCTAATTTATTAATGGTGTCTTCACATATTCAGGTCACACCAAGAAAGCTTCTGAATACTATCACTGTGAGTATCCAGCTATTACACTGTGTCTTGTTTTATTAGTTTTTTCCCCCCACCTCTCTTGGAAACATTACCTAAACCTTTTTCCTTTATTTTTAACAGAGATCTGGTCACAGTCTGACATGTAAGTAGAATATTATTTTGGTCAGTATTAATTTAAGAGCTTAATTTTAACCCTGCTTAACTCAACTCAACAGCAACTCTAGGACAGTAGCTAATACATGTTTAGAGAACATTTGGTATACAAAAAATAAAATGTGAATTTGATATGGAGCCCCTACTTTGTGCCAAATAACCTTCAGTACACTTTATTTTAATGGGCAGATCCAGCAAAAAGATGGTACTCCTGTCAGTAACAGTCAAATTTTTGTTACTGACCTGAACAATTTTTACTATGGATTTGACACACCAGATAGCAGGACAGAATGTGATGACGTGCAACAATTTTCATGTAGAGACATCAGTGAGGATGATGTGGCTTAAATTTAAGACCAACAAGACTGCCTAGATGGTCTAAAAGCCCGTCCCCTCAAAGACTGTGCTCCTCAACGTAAAGGAATTTTTGCAAGATTGTTTCGGTGCCTCGCACAGTTCCAAAATCATTTCATGTCAAGCTTCCCACAAGGCTGTGTTCTTTCCCCTGTGCCGTTCTCTGTCATTACCAAAACATTTATGATTAATTTAGAATCTTTAAGTATGCTGATGACATGGCCTTAGTTAGTTGGCCTTTTAGATATAACAGACTCTTTAGGTGAAGCTGCCTTTCTGGCCCTCAGCAAACCCCAAAAGGCCTTTTTATGCGACGGGACGAGAAAGAAGGCGGGGAGTATCCTGGAAGATAGCTTTCATCCGCTCTTCAGCCAGTTTGAGCCTTTAAGTTCTGGGAGGCGTCCCTCTGGCAACTAAAAATGTATTTAAGATGTCCTTCATCCCAAGTGCCACTAATATTGTGAACTCCACAAAGCTACAGATATTAACATGAACTGTTTTTAATATGTAATGTGACCTTGTCTATGTGTGTGCTATATTAACTGCTTGTTTGTTTCCCACATGGACAATAAACATTCTGTTTGGTTCTAAACTTCACTAACTGAATAAACCATCAATGGAAAACATGTATTTTGCTGACAGATCATTTCATGTTTGTTGTGCACTTCTTTGTCCTTCAGCTGCTGCTCTTCCTGCTCTCAACACTCGTCGCTCCAGTAACTTTTGTCTGGTGGGCTCCCATAAGATCACATTGGCCTCCCTGGGACACAGCAAGTTCCCTCTGGATAAGGTAATAATCTGTCTCGATATTGATGGAAGCACTGCTCTCACTGTTTTTGGCCTCTTCGGGGAATTAAAGGTTAATACGTGGCTTTCCTACTCTGGGCCAGAAGATTGTGTCTTCTGCAGAAATGTACTGGGTAGCGTTGGTGAAAAGCAGGATTGTTGCTCAGTAATTTTCAAAGTTACCAACCAATAGAACCTACAGGGATCTTGTGAATTTCAATGATATAAAACAGCCCTAGCCATTTCAACTAAAATATGTTTGTCAAGTTCTTTTTAATTTCATATGCAGTTTGGTAGTTTTTAATTGAATCATAGCATTCAGAAGGGAAAAGCATGGCCCAGGTAACACATTCACTTCACCAGGTTTTGCACAAGTACAGTAGCACCACCAGACCACACTTTTGGTATTTTTATAATTCTGTTAGAAGTTTCTACACACAGGTGGGCTCACTGGTGATGTAACGTTCTGCCCCTCCCTGTCTGCCTCCCCCCCCCCTCTGTCTTGCTTCCTCCATTCAGATGAAATTTGAAGGCAAAATCAGGAGGCTGCTGGGAGATGAATTTCAGGAAAAGGTTTCCCACTTTTCACAACACTGTCGGTCCTTCACCTCTCATCGTTTCCCTCTGCTCCTCAGCAAAAATTAACCTACACTCTGACTCGTGATTTCCGTCATGCAAATTAACCGCCGCCTCAGCCTTAACTGTGTTGTTTGTGGTCAATTCTTATTAGTTTACATGATATCTGGGAAGAAAATCACTGCATAGAAACTACATTTTTAATCAAGTGTCATTTCATCTGTTAAGTTCTTTCTGGTGTGTGTGTGTGTGTGTGTGTGGGGGTGTGTGTGTGCGGGCCAGCCGTCTAAATATACAAGAAGAATTTCACTCCAAAATGCTGTTCTCACCATTGTGATTCCTGCTCATAATTACACAGTAAATCTAACGGTCACAAATGAAATCTTTTAAGACTTACAAGTTGTGAACACATCGGGTCACAGTTTTACAAAAACAGGTAGCTTCTCTATAGAGAAGTCAACGAAGAGCATGTAATGAAATTCTTCAAAATATTCTTTGTCTGTTTCTTGCTGTCTGTCATGTCGTACCAGTTTAACAGTGTGTCTCCTCCCCGGACCACAGGTGCCTTTTCTCTCTCCTCTAGAGGGCAGCATCTACCTGCAACTGGACAGTGAAAGTCACTCTAATGTGCAGCACCAAGGCTTCCTGGTTAGTAATGTCATGTTGCAATTTAGTCCCATAAGGTTAGGGTTAAGTAAATTGGGTGAGAGAATCTCATAAATGTCATAATTATTTCAAGGAAGTGTCGGTATGTTAAACCAAACAGAGAACTTCAGTCTTTGCTAAACTCTACATAAAACACCTTTCCACTTCAAATCAGACAAAATAAATTCCCTCAAATGTTACAAACTGTTTCAAACTGCATATTTGTTGCATTAAATTCACTCCTCTTTTTTTGTGGTTTTGTTCCAAGACAATGTTTGAGTTGATCAGTGGATATGGGGTGTGGCATCGCCGATATTTTGTTCTGGAGGGATGCAACATGTACTACTGGAACCACCCCAATGACAGAGAAACAAAGGTAAAGATAGACGAACGGACAGACTTTGCACACAAAGCCACCAAGTCACTTTTAATTGATGTCAATTTGTTTTAACACCCCAGGACGCAGAGGGCAGCATTTCTCTGTCCAGCTCTCCCAGTCAGTGTGTCAGGCCTGTGGAGAGGGACTTGTGTGCGCGACCTTTCACCTTTGAGCTAGTGAGCAACACCCCGCAGCAGCAGCAGGATGACAGCCAGGATGCCTTTGCCAAGTAAGTTTGAATAGAAACTTTACCCCACCCTTGAGTTAGTGAAGTGTAAATAGACAACATTTGTTTTAGTTATAATTGAGAGCTTCAAAACGTATGTCGGGATTTGTTTTTTGTGTTGTTGACTTGTAATCAACATGCTTTCAATGTGTGAAGTTGGACATTTTGGACAATATAGAATAATATATGCAATTAGCTTGAAGCATGTTACTCTTATGGCTGCAACCAGCTAGTGATGTCACAGGGGAGGGTGTTTTTACATTTGACAGTTGATGGGAAACTTCTGTGACATCAGTGATTGGGTTTTGCCTAGAAATGTTTTTTGTAACAGTGTAATTACTATTGAAAAAGACACGCAGGCTCTACACTCTACTAAATCTACATTATGTGCCACTGAATGTGCTCTTTAATTTGGGGGGGTGATTTTACACTAAGTTTACCAAAGTACACCGATCACTGTAACTGATAGATAACACACGCATATATAACATGCCTGGCTTCTTTAACAGTTCTTTTAATGGTCCCATGATCACAAACTGATGGATGTTGTTCTTGTCCAGGTGTTGGTTTTCAGCTGACACCAAACAGGAAAGGCTGGACTGGATGGAGAAACTCACCCAAGCTCTTCTGGACCATCACACATGGAACCGAACGTCAGGACGTCAGCAGCCCAACACGTCCAGCAGTTGGAACTTGAGGGAGAGCATACTGTAAATACATCACTAAGCCAAAAGACCTGCTCACATGCGATCTGTTGCAGTTTCTGCTGCCTTGGATCTGTGATAGCACCCTGGAAGCAGCCTTTAAATGGCAGGTAGATGAGCTGACATCAGGCTTTAGATTCTTTATCTCAGAGCTGCAGGAGATGAGCCTGTTCTTTGTAGGCTCCGTTTCACTGTTGAAATGAAAGTGTCAAATTACAAACAGTTGGCAAGGCAAAACGTTATGTATCTTATGTTGATTTATCTTTGGGAGATATCTATTTGATTTTCATACAGTTTGTTTCTTTTAACCTGAATCCAATCATTACTGTTGGTATTTGCTAAGTTACAGTTGCCATTTGAAAAGTTTTAGTTTTTCTTTATCATCATTTTGTGGAAATTAGGTTTTATTTTGACTTGTTTCTCTGTGGCAATCAGCTGCTTTAGCCATTGTTGGTAATATTATTTGGTCACTTTCAAGAGCGACGGTGAACCTTCTCTTGTAGCTTATATATATATTTGAAGTAATTTACACATATTTAGATTAATATTGTATTTTTGTATCGTTTGAACTGGAAGGATAAATAAAAAAACTAATAAATATTGAAGAAGGAAATTTTACACTCTAGTAAACTAACCTAGGGTGAGAATGTATTAGAAGAGGTGTTGGAATGGGAGCTTTCTTGATAATGGGCCCAGTCAATCAATTCTAGGTGGAAGTTAGCGCAGGATTTTTGTTCCACTGAACCAACATATATTTGGTCGTTAATTCTCTGAAATGTGACAGAACAACACTTTTGCCTGTGTGCCTTTTTTCCTGAAGGAATAACCAGTCAAAATCTGTATCTATCCCTCTTGTCAGTACGTGTCACTGGCATCTTGTTTTTTTTTTACCTTTTTCCCAGTGGCCTGAAGTGGTCATTCTTATTCCATATTCAAGTACATGATTTGTGTTACTCACACACACAAACCCATATATTTACATGTTTAAACCCATATTATATGTGTAATACAGTGGGTGAGAGATCTAATGAGGTAAAAGAAGGGGCCGTAATGATGCTGCTGCAATGAATGTAGTTTGTTCTGTCCTGTCCCTATGTCCTGTTCTTTTTCATGTATTTCCACTTATCACTCTGTCTCTTTGTTCTAAATGTTATTCGTGTGAACTCTCATTCTATGCAGTTAATTGAAGGTACCAATAAAATAAATGGATTGAAATTGCTACCAAACTGTTTAAATTGATAGACTTGACCGATTATAACACTGTATCACGTTGATATTTCCATTTTCTCTTCAATAGAAAACCTGTTAAAGTGGGTGCACATTGTTATTTTTAACAGATGTCACAGACAAGTAGATTTAATGTGTTGAAATACTTTATTTCTCACCCCATTCTTCTCCAGCGTGTATACATTGCCTGGTGGAACTATAGATCTATACATACGGAGCCTGAGAGACTCTGGCAGGAAGGCGGCTCAGGTCAGGAATGTCATACAGGAAGTGGTCTGGAATTAGACTTCCTGTTAGTCCCATAGCTCCTTTGGGCGGAGGTGTTGCAGGGTGTTATGGAGCTCAAGGTGATGACAACAACAAGGGGAGGGGAGCACTTGATTCTGCTTACAGAACACAGCTATGTTGAACTGGCAACACTGGCTGTTTCAGCGTTCTTATACACTGGGTGCTGGGCAGTGGTTAGTACAGTGAATTTCTATGGGTTTGTCAGATTTTGGGGTAGTAATTTAAGCTCAGTACATAAAGTTAATGCAAATAGAAGCTAGAGGAAAGGTCTGATGACCAGGAACATCCACTGTAAATTTCAAATCAACATGACCAGTAGTTGGTGAAATATTATGCTTTGGATCATGTGTGAATGGCTGATGGACCAGTCCAAATGTATAAAAGTTACAACACTGGTGTCATTTGTTTGGATGCGAGATGTCATATTGGAGTGATTTCATCCTTTTTGGACGGGCTGTGAATGCAGATGAGATTATTGTTAGATCTACAGCAGAGGGAGTAACTGAGCAACCAGAATTACAGATGGGGGGGGGACTCGCTGTCAGTGTGACAAGACTAAAGAACAGCATGTCATCGGCCTCGTCCTTAGCAATGTGGTCCCACCCTGACAGGAATACACTCTGCACAACATCCTGGTGTGCCAGCCCTGGCTCTGTCCCTTGATGGCTCCGGAGGAAATTGTTCGTGCGTGGCAAAGATCTGAGAAATGATACTGAGGAGGCTGGTCTTGTTACTGTGACTAAGAAATGGGCAACTACCTTGATCAGTATGGATATTTTAGTCTGATTCCACACAACTTTGTTTAATATAGAATTGCATCCTGTGGTCCAACGCTCTTAACACAAAGAGAGTAAGGTACTGTGAAAAAATCAGGAGTCAGAAAAGGGGGAACAGTATTGTCATTTTTAATTTTGTTGAAAAGAATTCTGACATTCTGGGTTTTATGGCCTTTTTTTATGATCATGTAATGGAAAATGTGTCCATTTAAAAAATGTGTGAAATTTAGTAGTCCATTCCAATACCGGTAAAACTCCACGAGTATTGATACCAATTCAATACCACGGTAAAAAGCAAAACAATAGTGCTTCAACATGCACTCTTTTATTAAAAGCATTTGAACATTACAAAAAAAAACAACTAACCGCTGTGAAAGTTGTGTGAGGATGTCCAGGCAGAGGAATACGGAAGCCCTAAGAAGCCATCTATTCAAATATTTTTCTTTCTCCCGTTTTCCCGTGATAATGGGATAATTATCTTGAGATAACAAATGCTGTGTTCTTGTGATAACGGGATCATTTTCTCAAGATCACAAAATAATTACCCTGTTACCACAGGAAAATGTAAAAAAAAAAAAATGGATGACCTCTTAGGGCTTCCATAGATGTGAATTGATGGCAGTATATTCATAAATGAGCGAGCTGTTATGTCCTGAAATTACAACCTTGCACTGTTGTACAGATGTAATTGATCACCCAAGTCTGCAGTTCCCCTTGAGTGCATCTTTCAGCTCATTGTTTTGATTCACTCTCACGCTCTCATTGCGTCCTTTCCAGCAGCAGAGGGCCAGAAACACGACATCAAGTAGATGCTAAAGTTGCTCTGTATCTGCCAAATGTGTATGTGCAAGTATATGCAAGTTCGCCATCAACTTTTAATGTGATAAAATGTCAGTATTATGTTCACAGCTTGTCTCCTCTGACTCCAAGAAATCTGTCTTTGCATAATTAAATTGGTGTACATCATTTTAATTCTTTATGCTTGAGATAGTGGCAGTAACCATGGGGAGGGTGAAAAATTAGGTTCCCTCCCTACCAAAATAATATCTGTACAGCCCCTAACATTCAACAACCCATATTAGTCACTTCCTACACAAGCTTTCTCAGAGTCTGTTCTTTCGCAGCGTTTTCCTTTGTTGAGAGAAATTGTTATCCAAACACAACTCACAGAGCGCCAATGCACAACGTTTAAAATTGCATGAGGAAATCTGCAGCAGCACTGAGAGATGATGGTCCCACGTTCCCTTCAGAAAGCGTGTTTGTTCTGGCTCCAGCCACAGGGCCACTTGGCACACTCCTTGCTGTGTTTTGAAGAGGTCCGGGAAGCTTGGAGGCGTAAACAGGGCGGCGGGGTCAGAGGACTTGACTGAGCTGCAAATAAACAAACTTCCCTCAGTGGTAGTAGCTGGCGCTGGTCAGACAGCTGCAGCGGATCAGAGAGGGTCAGCGACACAGTGTTTTTGTTTCAGTGGAAAAACACTTTTTGTTCAGCATCAACAATAGAGCCACAAAGTTTATCTACCTGGTGTTAAAAGAAGGTTAATGACCTACTAATGAAGTTATGGGAATCACGATTGATATCCGGCTTAAATCATCTGCTGACACCTGTAAAGTGCCTTCCAGTAGAACAATAACAGTCATGGACTCCATTAGTTCTTGGCTCCTTTGTGTTCCCTTCTTTTATGGTGTGCTGCAGGCTAATGACTTTTGCATTATACATTGTTTCTTCCTGTAACTGTGTGTTTAATTGGTTTTCCTTTATGAGTCCAGGAGACTCAGAATCCCTAGAGGTTTTGTGGAACATTATATGCACTGGTCCCTGCACCCTTTCTGCCACCAACTGGATTGTTGTCCTGGTCCCCTCCCCGTGTCATCTCTTGCTGCTTTTAATGTGTTGTGGGACAAAAATAATTATATTTAGGTGAACATTAAAACAAATTGCTTATGTGTTTGTGTTCTTTTGTAGAACATGTTACTTTTACACTTTTTGTTTTTGTGCGGATGAAATAAATGAGACATAACATGTTAATCAGTGAGCTGTGGTGCTGATGGTAGGTGGGTTTTGTTTCCCTTAGACAGAGCCAGGCTAGTTGGTTCCCTTTGTTTTCAGTCTTTGTGCTAAGGTATGCTAACCAGTTGCTGGCAGTAACTTAATATTTAATGTAGAGACATGAAACTGGTATCAGTCTTCTTCTCATCTAACTAAAAGTGAATAAGTAAAAATAAAACTTTTATGTTGACATTGCCAACTCAAGATCCACTTACTAGCTTATTCCACAGCTTTCAACCACATCACATAGTCTTTAGATTGGGTGGAGGTGGACCTACTGACATGTAAGCTCAGTAGCTGTTAAGATTTCATCCATAACATTTTCTTTCACCTGATGAAGACAGTGTGGCTGGAAGCTTTGGAATCAGAAAGCTAATAACAAAAAAAATATACTCTAATAGTATTTACCATCTTCTTAACAGGCCCCTGAATGCAGCATATCTCCCTATACCCTCCCTATCCCTGCCCCTTTCTCCCCTCACCCTACAGCATTATTCTCTTCCCTCTCCTCCCCCCCAGCTCCCTCCCTTTCCTGCCGGCCTCTCAGCAGAGGATGTGTCTGGGAGAGAGAGTGTGTGTGAGGGAAAAGAGGAAAGCCGTCAGTAGAATGGATATGTGCTCTCTCTCCTCCACCTTTTCTTCTTCTCCTCCTCCTCTGTCTCATCTCTGTCTTCCTTCACCTTCCTCTGCCAGCGTCGCACCCTGGGCACCCTCAGTGCCGGCACTCGGGGGGAAAAGAAGCCTCGTCGGGTGGACGGGCTGCTGAAAACTGAACTTCAATGTCAGCAGAGGATCAGAAGAATGGTGGGGACAAACCAGAAGGTAACGGGACACACGCCTGCACAGACACACTCTATTTGCCTGTTGACAACATTGCTGAAAGGCAACACCCACTTCTTCTAAAGTCTCTCAATAGCTAGAGACAAAAGAATGCTTTAGTGCACGGTCACAGTGCTGCATGTCAGTGAGATAAATTAATGAACTCTTCAAAATGATTCATTAACGTATTAGGTTTAGAGTGATGTCTTGATTTGTGGGTGATCATTTGCATTTGATCACATATTAAACATCTGCCAGTCAATGTCAACCACCCTAAGTGTGATGAACGTTCCACCCTGATGGCAGTAGCTGTGATCCTGAGTCTGTAATGAAAAAACAAGAACAAGATCAGCTTTGCTTTAAGAGCTACTACCACTACAAGTCCATCTGTCTGTGTGACTAGAGTGTAAAGTTTAGGCTCCTCTGATGGTCCAAGTGCAATTTTAGATAGCTGATCAAACAGGTCCACCACAAGGTTCGTTTAGTAGTTGTCCTGGAGTTTTCGGTCATATCACATGATCTTCATCAGCAGATGGTGTTTTCCCACTTGTCATGGAATTGTAGATGTTCAAATTTCCATTTTTATGTACCGTTTGAGGACAAAGTGTCATTTTATTGATTTTTTTTTTGGAATGAAAATAACCACATTTAAAGGGACAGTCTAGCAATTTAATATTGCGCCTCCATAAAGATGGAGAGACAGATCAGCAAAAGAATTGTCAAAGCTGTTGCAGCAGAGTCCGAGATATCCTGACTTTTTCTGTAGTACGGGTCAAACCCCAAAACACTTGCATGCTAAACTTACCACAATGCAACTCAATAGCATCTTATGTGTTCCCTGTGACTAGTAAATTCATATCGAAATCGGTGGAGTTCCTCTTTAAAAACACTGCATTAAAAAACTGTTTAGCATTTTAGTGCCCTTTAGTCTGCTGGTTACCACACCAACCTGCCATTAAAGCAGCATTACTGCTGTGTTGTCCTCTGTGCAGTTGTGTTTTTGACTGTGCTGTTGCAGCACTGGCTTTCATGACTCAACACTTTCCTAAATGTGAGCTCCATGGTT